TGCTGCCAGTCAGTTTAAATTAAAATGTAAAGGACCCCAGAGCCTGAAGTCCTAAGTACCTGAGAAAAGGTCACTGATGAATGAGAGGGGATTGATTTATTTGTCCAGATCAGACAAGCAATTTTAGGGGGTGGGGAAGGGAAGAGGGCTCAGAGAGCTAGAGAGCCTGTCCCTCCCCAGGCCCAGCACTTTAGGAGTTTCCTGTGACTGGGACATTCAGAGGAGATGAAGAGAGTGATTATATGATCACAGATTTAGAGCTCAAAGGGATCTTTTTTGTGTCCTGAAACAAATTTTGGCAATCTGGGAAAACCTATGGATAACTTCTCAGAGTAATGTTTTTAAATGCATAAAGCAAAATGCACAGGATTACCAAGGAAACTAATTATAATGAGATGCAGTTATCAAAATGTTTTCATGGCATTATAGTAATATATATGCTTCTTTATTAATGTATTAAATAACAAGAAAATATATTGTAAAATATAGGCTAGCTAACATTAAATTTTATTTTTAAAAGTCATTGTTACTTAGTTTGAATAATAACATTAAACTGCAGGGTTGTCTTTAACAAGGCAATACGTACAGCATCAAATGAACATCCAATCAGTTTTGAGTTTTTCTTTGAATGGTTACAAGTGTGGATAATCCGATTCACAAAGATACGTTGTGGCAAATGGAATTAAAGCTTCCATAGTTTGCCTTCCAAAAGCTACAGTAATTTCCAAGCAGTGATGAACATAAATGATATTTCAAGATATCTGCAACAATTGTAATGTGATAGGAAAATACCTGTTTCTATCGATGAAAAGGTACAGGTATTGGTAATAACACTGCATCGTTGCCCTCTTTCAGAGCTAGAGGAAACACTCGATTTCAGTTAGAGGTTAGTGAAAATAAAGATGTATTTTTCCCCATCCAACTTCAGAGATCCTCTGTAATCTATCCACAATGAGACCCTCTGATCTAGTCCAGCCCCCTCATTGTAGTCAGGACTTGTGATTTCCTTGGAGTATAGACCTCCCTCCTTCAGTACAGAGCAGAACCTTCTGGGCCATTTCCAGGCCAGCTTAGGGTTATGGTTCCGTGAGCTCCCTCAGGTTACATAATCAATATGACAGTATGATGGTATTTAAAGGCAGCTCTCAGCCCCTAAGGCTGCTCTTGCCCCTCATTTCTCAGGGCTGCAGAGACTGATTAGCTTAGGCAAAGCTTATATTTGAAGAGCGGTCCTCTGACCCCAAATTCAGCGCCCTTACCAAGGCACCTCTCACTTCCAGATTATTGACCCAGTTCCCTACTTTTACAGAGGAAACCCAGAGAGGGAAAAGCACTTGCCCAGTATCACCCAGGAGTGGAATTCTCCAACTCTTCTGAGAGCTTATTCAGAAGGAATACTCTCACATTACTAACTAAGCCCTTGTGGGGAGGAGGGAACTCTCATCCTCCTCCTCATTATTGATGCTGGGCACCAGAGGTCTGATGGGGAAATTCCACGTTTCTTTTGCTTTCTGTCCTGTCCTATGCTTCACTCTCTTCTGGGTATAATAATGGCTGAGAATTCAGTCAGACAACCTTGTTCAGGTCCTAGTTAGGATCTTGGATGTGGCTTCCTCTTCCTGGCTTTAGAGCCCCCCTCTGTAAAAATATCAAAGTCAGAAGGCCTTGGACGTTCCTCCCAGCTCTAGGACTATGTTTTTAGAATATGATTTCTATATTAGAACAAGGATGAGAAGAGAACAGGAAAATGCCATGTTTGTCTCCCTTTCCTAGTTATAAGACCATAGATTTAGAGCCAAAGGGAACCTTGTAGATTATTGAAGCCAAACCCCTCTTTTTACAGATAAGGTAACTGAGACACCAGGGGTTAGGGGAGAACAAACATCTACTATGTGTCAGACACTGTGTTGAAGAGCTTTTCAGATATTATTTCACTTGAGAGTACAAATAGGAATGTTTTATAAAATAGGATCAAAGTAGATTTCTCATTGGTGAAATATATAGAAAGTATGTATTATACATCATACATTATGCAAATATACATGGATGAAATTACAGAAAGCAACCAGGTAATTGAATTCAATGGCAAGGAGAATGTGTTGTGTTTATTTTTATAATGGCCAAAATGTAATATTGTGAGTCCAGTGATATGCCTACTGAATCCATCCAACATTGAAGACCCCTTAGGTAGTACTAGAAGACCCCTCAAATCAAATCAATTTAAAGTAACTTGTCTAGGGTCACACAGTGCCCAAGATAGGATTTGAATCCAGGCCTTTTTGACCCTGCATCCTTTGCCCAATCCTATATACCATGTCTGTTGCCCTACATCCTGCCTCCTCCAAACAAAATTGTTAAATAATTTGACATTTGTCTCAGGGGCACTGCTTTCTCTACCTGGAACTCCCCTCCACACACACACACACACACACACACCCTCTTATCTATTACTGTTCTCTCCCTGCTTAGTCTTTCCGCTTTCCCTAATAACCTTATTCTTGTCTAGGAGGAAAAACAAGCATCTGATGAACTTGTGCTGAATGTTAGGGACTTTGTGCTTCCCTTCCAGAGGTGTTTAGAATTTTAAAAGTGAATCGCTAGGAGGGAATGCTTAAGCCAAAGAATGAATCCACTAAGAGTGGAATTTGGGGAAACCTTTTTCACAATGAAGTGAACGAGGTAAAATGAAGAAACTGAGGCCAAGATGTGAAGTGGCAGCTGGCATTATAGCTGGTACTAGAACCTGTGTCTTCTGACCCCCAAGTCCATTAGACCATGATGCATCTCTCAAGGCTGCCAATACTCTGGGGAAGGCTCCCATCTAAACAAAAGGGAAACATCTATAAATTATTTAAAAGGTACTTCAGTGCTAAGGACATGATCTGTCTGAGTGGGAACAAATAGGAATATTATGCAAGATGAGATCAAAGCAGATTTCTCACTAGTAGAAAAACAACTTACAGAAAGCAACTAGGTAATTGAACTTAATGGTAAGGAGAATGGGTTATATTCATTTTCATCACAGAGGAAATTTAACTCTAGGCAGCTAGGTGGTAAAGTGGATAGAGTGCTTAGCCTGGAGTCAGGAAGATTCATTTTCCTGAGTCCAATCTGGTCTTACATACTTAGTAGCTTTGTGGGGAAGTCACTTAACCCTGTTTGCCTCAGTTTCCTCATCTGTAAAATGAGCTGAAGGAGGAAATTGCACAGCAAATGCCCGACAATATCCTTCTATCTCTAAAATGATATGGAGCTGTAAATGGGGCTACTTTTCCCTTCAGCTAGCTGCCTCAAGGATGAGAACAGAAGGGATTAACGGCTAGTGGCCCACTGAGGCAATTCCCCTCCTGGCTGTCACAACCACTACTCAGCTGCATTCTTACCATGGGGCATTCTCACCCTTGAACATCGCTCTGCCAACCCTCTTCTCACATAGGTGAGTTCCTTTCAGAGCCTCCATTTTGGGAACAGGCCCAGCTCAGTCACGCTTCATTCCCCTTCTGGCTGTGCAGGGCTGACTTTCAGGACTTCCCTATCATGTCCTCTCTGGGTACCTTCTCTCCCTCCCCCCTTTTCAGCTCTCTTTTATGGGTTATCTTCTCCTTTCAGAATATAAGTTTCTCTGAGGAAGGAATTGTCTTCTTTTTGCTTGTATCTGTATCCCAGGTGCTTAGTACAGTGCCTGGCACACAGTAAGCACTTAATTAATGCTCCTTGCCTGCCTGGCATGCTGTAGGGATGACTGATTCTAAATAACATTTACTTGATAAGTAAAAACCAGTGTCAAACTGCCAAAAAATATTGAGGTTTTGACACTAAAAGAAGTCATTTTTTAGTTTCCCAAAGTACACCAGAGGACAAAATCAGTATTGTTTTCCAGTTTGGATGAATTAATGACCATTTATAGTTTGAACTTCCTGTCAAAACACTACTCAAGGGCTAGATGGAATTTAGATAACTGAAATGGCATCACCTGTGGATGACTGAGACCCTAATTATGCCAACAGAAAGCCATTTGCCCTTGAAAGACAACTAGATGAGAAACCAACCGGACAAAGACAGGATGGCATTTTTTTCTTGACTAAACAATCCTCTCGCTAATTTTTCCCCTAGAAAATGTAGATTTCAAACCCCTCCTCTTTCTCCAGGCTAATGTTTCAGCTCTCCTCCTTCCCTTTGAATTTGTTGATCAATCTGGTCAGCCTGGCTCAAAGCTGCTGCAGTTTAAACTGGACGCTTCCTAAAAACCTTTTCATTCTTTAAATAATAATAATAAATCCTCTTGGTCGCTTAGCTGAGACTCGGCCGTGTGGGAAGGAGGAGTGAGTGGTCTGTGGTGGCTGGGAGGCATGTCTAGGGAAGAGACCCCCTGGGGAGACGTCAAAGCTCAGCGCACAGATGTCACCAAGCCTTAGAGCTGGACAGGACGTCAGAAAAAAATCACCTGGAAGACCCCCGTGGCGTAAGGAAGCAAAGCTAGAGAATTGCAGAGACTTGGACCCGCGCTTGAATCCTTGCTATGCTCTTTAGAAACTGCTGATGGGGTGACCTTGGACAAGTCCCCTTGCATCTTGTCGCTTCCAAATTGCCCGTCGGTCAAATGAGGTTGTTGGTTGGGGAAGCGCTAACGTCCCTTTCAGTTTGAAAGCCTGGGTTCTGTTTATTGGCTGTGTAACCCATTCTCCGTCTGTAAAATGGAGGAACTAATACTTGTCGATTAACAAGTCATTGTTAAGCGCCTACTATGTGCCGGACACTAGGCTAAGGGCAGGGAAACGCAAACCCAGCCCCGGCCCTGGAGGAGGAGGCAAGGTGCCCAGCCCCGGGGGGGGGCGGTGGCCCCGGTCACCTAGTAACCACTCCCGGCCGGCAGCCAATGGGAGGTGCCGTGTGCCTCGGCACGGCGTGACGTCATGGGCCGGCGGCCAATAGGAGCGGGGCGCGGGGCCGGGACGGCCCGGGAGTGAGGGGTGTGGTGAGAATGGCGCGGAGCTCGGGCAATGCGGGTCCTCAGTGGGAGCGCCGGGGGCTCCGGAAGCGCCGCGAGCGCGGGGACACCCGGGGTGCCGGGGGCGGCCGCGCTTGGTGGCTTCCTGCTGCTGCTGCTGCTGCTGCTGCTGCTGCTGCTGCTGCTCCGGCCCAAGCGGCCAGCCAGCTTCCCCCCGGGCCCCGCGGGGCTGCCGCTCATCGGCAACATCTTCTCCCTCGCCGCCTCTGCGCAGCTGCTGCACGTCTACATGGAGCGGCAGAGCCACGTGCACGGCCAGGTACAGCCTCCGCGCCGGGCCCGGCACCGCCGCCAGGCCTGCCAGACCACAGATCCCGGCACTGGAGGGGGAAGAGCGCCGAGGCCTCAGCGCAAGCCCCTCCTCCCTCCCGGTGTCCACCCTGCGGCCATCACGACCTCTCCTCCCGGTGTCCAGTTACCCACTCTCCTAGGGTCCACTTGCTGTGGTCATTCCCTTTCCCCCCCGCAGTCACCTCTCTTCCCCCGGTTTACCTCCCCCCTCCAAAAAATGGGTGGTCGGACCCTGACTGGTCAACCCCGGGAGAGGCGCCCTCGGGGCCGCCCCGCCTGGACTTTAGAACGTAGTGGCCTCCGCTGACCTGCCCGGGGTTAATCGTTAATTTGGCATTTGTTGTCATTCCAGTGCAGGGTTTGAGCTGGAAGTGATGACCTCAGAACGTCCAGGCCGGGGGCTTCACCTGGGGTCCCTGATCTTTCTTTCTTTCCTTCTTTCTTCCTTCTTTCCTTTCTTTCCTTCTTCCTTCCTTCCTTCTTTCCTTTCTTTCCTTCTGCCTTCCTCCTTTGCTTCTTCCTTCCTTCTTTCCTTTTTCCTTTTTTCTTTCCTTTTTCCTTTCTTCTTTCCTTCTTCCTTCTTTCCTTTCCTTCTTTCCTTTCTTTCCTTCTTCCTTCCCTTCTTCTTTCCTTCCTTCTTCTGTTCTTCCTTCTTTCTGTCTTCCTTTCTTCTTCTTTCTTTTTTCTTCTTCCTTCCTTTCCTTCTTTCTTCCTTCTTTACTTTTTCCTTTCTTCCTTCTTTCTTTCCTTCTTCCTTTCTTCCTTCTTTCCTTCCTTTCCTTTCTTCTTTCTTTCCTTTCTTTCTTTCCTTTTTCTTCCTTTCTTTCCTTTTTTCTTCCTTTCTTTACTTCCTTATTTTCTTTCTTTCCTTCTTTTCTTTCTCTCTTTCTTTCCTTCCATCTTTCTAGTTCCCTTTGTAACTCTAATCAGTTATACATAGTATTTATACATTGAAAAATATGATTTGAAGTGGATAGGGCTAGGGGCGTGGAGTCAGGAAGACCCAGTTCAAATCCAGCCTCAGACACTTACTAGCTGTGTGACCCTGGGCAAGTCACTTAGCCCTGTCTGCCTCAATTTCCTCATCCATAAAATGAGCTGAAGAAGGAAATGGCAAACCACTCCAGTATCTCTGCCAAGAAAACTCCAAAAGAGGTCCCATTTTACTATTGTGTTGTTTTCAGTTGTGTCCCCTCTTCATGACCCCATTTGTAATAAAAATGTTCGCTATTATTATTAAATAAGGGGAGATACAAATACTTAGAGTGGTGGGAGAAATTTAGAAAGGGAGAGTTCACTTATAGCTGAGAGAGTCAATGAATAACATTGTTATTTGAAACTTGTAATTGGAAGGAAGGAATGGATGGAAGGGAGGGAGGAAGGCAAGGAGGAAAGGAGGGGGAAGGAAGGGAGGGAGGGAAAGGAAAGAGGGAAAAAAAGGAGGGAGGGAGAAAAGGGAGGGAGGAAGGGAAGAAGGGAGGGATTTATTAAGCATTTACCTTGGGTAAATCATTGTTCTAAGTACTGGGGCTACAAACAGAAGAGCACAATGCTACCTGACCACATTCTAATGGAGGGGGAGGTGCAGACTGCATAGTATATAGGAAGTTTCACCTGTAAGTTAGGTGCCAAAGTCCAGCGGCCCATGCCATGCAGGTAAAGCTGACAGTAATGCATCTTCTTTAATGTCCTTTCCAGTGATAAAGCCATATCCATTTCTGATGTTGAACCATTCAACAGTGCCAAGGGTTTTGGTGGTTAGCACTTTTTGGGAGGGGGGGCTCAGTAGCTGGGGCTGGTGGCCAAGCCCCCCTCTCCTCTATGGTGACTTCCCTTGATGATGGATGGAGGCATGAATGGTTACTGCTGTTCCTGGGGTTCTTGGATTTAGACGCCTGGGCTGTTTCCACCAGAACCTGAAGGGATGTTGTAGTTGAAGGGGGTGGCCGAGTGGTTTGAGCTGCCTGGCATTTTTGCCACCCCCGTTCCTCAGGGCACCTGGTTGCTTCAGGGAGGCTGTGGGTTTGGCTGTTGGTGGTGATCATCAGTCAATCAAAAAACATTTATTAAGCGACTGGAACAGGGGGAGACTTGAGGCAGGCAGCTATTGCAGTAATCCCGGGGTGAAGTGATAATGGTCAAGCCTGAGGTGCAGCAGCGTTGGAGGAGGGAAGGGGGCATACTGGAGAGGTGCTGCAAAGGTGAGGTGGACAGGCCATGACAACGGCTTGGATAGAGGGGGTGAGAGATAGCGAGGAGTCCAGGATGACCCCCGGGTTGGGAGGATGGGGCTGCCCTGGACGGTGACAGGGAAGCGAGGAGGCGGGGAGTGTTTAGTGGGAAAGACAACGAGTTGGGTTTTGGATACGTTGAGTTTCAGTTGTGTCCGGGACATCCAGTTGACGATATCTGAAAGGTGGTTGGAGATGGGAGACTGCAGGTCAATAGGGCTGCTCCGTAGTGGCTTGAGGGGATGATTTGGGCATGGATTTTCCTCAGGCATCAATTTTTGCGTGAAGCTGAAATGAAGGAACCTCCACTTTCACGTTCTAGAAAATCCCATTAGAGGCAGAATGGTGGTGCAACTAAGAAGACAGTGTTATCTAGTGGAAATTGTCTTGTATTTATTTATTGTCATCAAAGGGCCTGGGTTCAAGCCCTGGCTCTGCTACCTGTGTGACCTTTGGTCAAAGGCCTGCTGTCCACTCTCTGGGCCTTAATTTCCAAATCTGTAAAATCTGAGAGTTGGAATAAACAGATGGTCTCTGAGGTCAAATATGATGTCATGTACCCTTATTTAAACACCACCACATAGTGGTTTGCTATTTCTTTGGGTATTTTTAACCCAGAGACTTGACTGCCATCATAAGATGCCTTCATCTGTAGAGGAACTCCTTACCTAGCAAATCCATGCTGGACAGGGAAGTGGTTGGTTTTTTAGAGAAGTGGAATGTCTGTGGAAGAGGTCACTGGCCTCCAAATCCAGGCTCAAGGCTGTGGTCCTAGTGCTGGCAGCACTCTGGTGTGAGCCCCCATCACCTCACGCCTATGTCACTGCAATAGCTGCTGGTTTGTCTGCCTGCCTCAAGGCTCTCCCTGCTCCAGTCCATCCCCCAATCAGCCACTGAAGTGATTTTCCAAGTTGCTTAACTTGCCCAAGCATCAATTTCCTCCCATAAATGAACATATTTCTGGTATTTCCTACCCCACAAAGTTATTTTGAGGACCATAAGAGATGCGGAAGTGCTTTGAAAACTACGAAACAGACAAATTTAAAGCATTTCCGAAATCTTGAAGCCACACAAGCAGAGAGGATAGAACCTTTGTTCTTACTTTCTTGGAATGTAACAGTATGGCATGACATGACATGATTTAGATACTAATTGATAACAGAGTCTCTAATTAGCCAAGATTTACTCTGTTGACAGCACTGAGGGTGGGCCTGGTACACTCTATGTGCAAACCTTGGTTTGGAGGGACTTCTATAGGAGGGAAGGCTGTAACACATGAGGATTTCTGTTTGGCAAGTAGGGTGGCTTCCTTCTCACCATGTCATACTGCTTATTACTGGGTAGTGTGTTGACGACCCAAGAAAAGTCCAGTCAGCCAGAGGGGCATAGCTTTCTTGATAGTATGGAGTGGAATTAGAAGATAGTATTATTGATGGGTAGTAGTTAAAATCAAAATAGATTACACAGTTAAAAACCACACTTATAATTCAAGACGCTTATAAATGAAAGGCCTTTTAAATACTTCACAAGGATGGTCACCACTATTGATAAAGGTAGCGAGTTTTGTTAGACCCAGCAAGAATGGAACAGTGGGAAGAGCAGTCATTGGCGGGAGAGTGGGAGCCTGGCTTCATGGGCTGGCCCTGCCACCAACTTCAGTCACTGCTTTCTGAGCCAATGTCTTCTACGAAAGCTACCACCGATGTTTCTTAGAACTATTGTGAAGAAAGTGAACTGAGGCACTGTGTATAAAGGGGAGTTATTAGTAAGAGCAGGTGTGAAACCTGTGTACTCAGGTACATTAGTAAATAGGTAATGATGAAATAATGATAATTAAATAAAAATCTGTGCAAACAGGTCATTAGTAAAACAATGCTCAGCTCTGTGGGGAAAGGAGAAATAAGAAGGGATCTCAGAATTTCCCCTCCCACAGGCCAGAATAACAAGTGAGGCACCTCTCACTGACATAGACTGTGCTGGGGCTGGTATGGACTTCTGACATGTGTTCCAACCCCCTCCACCCCCATTTTACAGAGGAGAAACTGGGCTCAGCATTTGGTCTGAGTGACTTCTGGGACGTCCCCCCTTGTCAGAGATAGCACCCCAACTTGATGCCACCCACATCTCCTGACTCTTCACCCTGTGCTCTCCCCTTCTGCCCACTGAGCCAGGTACTGCTCCAGGCGCAGAGCCAATGAGGAGGCTGAACTTGGTGCTGGGCCCCAGCAGAGAGGAAGCTTCTGTGGTCCTCCTAACACCTCACCCATTTCTATCAATACTTGCTGGTCGCTTACTGAGGCTTGGAAAGATACCTAATGTACTTCCGAATAGTAACTTAGACTCTGATAAGGCTTGGAAAAGAATAGAGACTTCCTTAGCGATCTATCTCCAGATGACGTGTCATTTAAATTCTGCTCTTTTCTGCTTCTTTTTCTCTTTCCAAAGATTTTCAGTTTAGATCTTGGAGGTTTGTTCACTGTGGTCCTGAATGGCTATGATGTGGTAAAAGAATGTCTCGTTCATCAAGGTGAAATTTTTGCTGACAGACCTGCTCTCCCTTTGTTCAAGAGGCTGACCAAAATGGGAGGTGAGTGTATTTTCAACTATTACGGACTTATTAAAATACCTGAAGCCTATATCAGTCATCATTCAGTTTGAGAAAACACAATCTATGTCACGCAAAACCCAAGATACCTTGCACATGCAGACTTGGGCAGATGAGATAGTATTTGGAGAAGTGCTTAAAGTGTGGGTACTTTATAATTTTTTTTCCTCCCTCTCTCACCTTGGGCACTCTTTCTGAGCTGTAGTTTCCTTGTGTGGGAAATAGAAACAATATTTATACAACCTTCTTAATGGGTATGAGAAGACATGATAGATCAAGTTCTTCATAATCCTTAAGAGTGTTTAAACTCTAAGTGGGTAGTAGAATTATTCTCCATTTTTCGTCTTAGAATATCCCAGCTTATTAAAGGAAAATAGATGATTTAATTCAATTCAACAAACATTTATTAAGCCCCCTTAATATGATGAAAAGACCATGGGCTATGTCCTTCAGGAACATTTTCTCTTCTAACAGAGGAAATAACGTGTATGCAAATGATATCATACAGATAGGACAGGAAGTAAAAAAGAAGCATTTTAAGAAATCTGATTAATGAACAACCGCTTCAGGGAATCAGAAGAGGCTTCCTGGAGGAAGTGGCACATCATCTGGGCCTTGAAGGAAAGGAAGGATTTCCATAAGCAGGGGTGGGAATCCACTGGGTGCATTGGAGACAGTTTCTGCAAATATGGAAAGATGGGTGGGGTCAGAATGAAAGTAGAGCATGATTCTAGGCCTGGTTGAGTTTATGAAAGGGCATGGAATGAGTTAAGGTTAGACTGGAGCCAGACTGGGAAGTGCCTTAAATGTCAGGCCAGTGAATTTTTACTTTATATAATCATTAGGCAAAAACTAGTGTATGTGCATGAACAAAGAGTGATGTGATCAGAGCTGGGCCTTGGGAGGTTATATATACACCCAAAGCATAGTCTGAAGGATGAAGGATCAGAGAGAGCAGCTAGGGACACATGAGGGCTTGTGAAGACAAGAGAGTAGACACAGAGTGTGTTGTGGAGGTGGTGTCAACAGCCTGGCAACTGATTAATATGGTGGGTGGAGGGAAAGCGTCAGAGAGGCCAATGAAGCTTTGAGCCTGAGTGACTGCAGCTGGTGGAGGAACCTCAGCGCTGGAGCAGCCAGAGGAAGAGAAATGATGATTCTGCTCTTGGATTTACTGAGCTTCCCGTTGGAGGGAATGTTCCGTCTCCACTGGGTCTGGAGCATTGAGGATCTAAATTCAGACGTGGTCCGTATGTGCACACAACGGAGAGAGTTGGAGTTAGGTCTGGATGAGAGGGCGAAGGGGGTAAATGGTCCAATCTTTCCTGCAGGTTTGCTCAACGCCACATACGGCCGGGGCTGGATAGACCACCGAAGGCTAGCCGTAAACAGCTTTCGCTATTTTGGCTCTGGTCAGAAATCCTTTGAATCCAAAATCACCGAAGAAGCCAAGTGCTTCATTGATGCTGTTGACACATACAAAGGGAAACCCTTTGACCTTAAGCAGTTGATAACAAACGCTGTTTCAAACATCACCAACATGATTCTTTTTGGACAACGTTTTTCTTACGAAGACACGGAATTTCAGCACATGATTGAGATTTTTAGTGAGAATGTGGAGTTGGCTGCCAGTGCCTCCGTCTTCTTGTATAATTCTTTCCCCTGGATTGGCATCTTCCCCTTTGGGAAACACCAACAACTTTTTAAGAATGCAGCTGTGGTCTATGATTTCCTCTCCAGAATTATCGAAAAGGTGTCTGCCAATAGGAAACCACAGTCACCTCAGCATTATGTAGATGCATATTTAGATGAGATGGATAAAGGGAAGAATGACCCAGGCTCCACATATTCTAAGGAAAACCTGATTTTCTCTGTGGGGGAGCTCATAATTGCTGGAACGGAAACCACCACCAACGTACTAAGATGGGCAGTTCTTTTTATGGGCCTTTATCCTAACATTCAAGGTGAGAAATCTCTTTGAACTTTGGGACCACTTTTATGGAGGCGGGAGTGGAGGAGAGCTCTTCCGCCAAGAAAAGGGCACTTGATTTGGACCCACACGTTTACTATCTACCTGTGTGACCTTGGGTGAGTCATTTACTCTCTTTGGACCCATTTCCTGAACTGTCAAATGAGGGAGTTGGAATAGACAATCTCTGAGGCCCCTTTTAGGTCTAACCCTTCAATCTGTGAACCGCATTCTGAGCTGTTTCTCTAAGTAAAGACTAAATGTGGTCCTAACTGAGGAAGTCACACAGTATGATATTCTTTTTTCTCCCAGAATATAACATTCCCCCTTCAGGGTCTGTTACTGTTTTAAAATTTAACAAAGTTTTATCTGTGTGTACCAGCCTTTACTATGAAAAATGGCTGCCCAGGGATAGAGCACTGGCCCTGGAATCAGGAGGACCCAAGTTCAAATCCAGCCTCAGACGCATACCACTTACTAGCTGTGTGACCCTGGGCAAAGTCACTTAACCCCCATTGTCCAAACCCCCCCCCCAAAAAAAAACAGGGAAACAAAGGGAAAAGAATCTGTCTGGGAACATCAGCCTGAAATCTACTTAGTTAGAATTTTCTCAGGGCTGTCCAGTGATATCCTCAAGTTCAGGTTACAGAGAGCTTCGTATGATGTAAAAATTAATGATTTTAGTAATTGCCTAATAACTTGCACTCTTTTTTTCTAACAGGGCAAGTTCACAAAGAGATTGATTTAATTGTAGGTCCCAATAGGACGCCTTCTTTGGAGGACAAATCCCAAATGCCCTTTACTGAGGCAGTTTTGCATGAAGTTTTGCGGTTCTGTAATGTAGTTCCACTGGGTATTTTCCATGCAACTTCTCAAGATACGGTTGTACGTGGTTATTCTATTCCTCGGGGCACCACAGTCATTACAAATCTTTATTCCGTTCACTTTGACAAAAAGTACTGGAAAGACCCAGAAGTATTTTATCCGGAGCGATTTCTGGACAGCCATGGACAGTTTGTTAAGAAAGAAGCACTGATTCCTTTCTCACTAGGTAAGGTCTGCCTGGGTGTGAGGGTCTCTGGAACTCTTAGTTGGCCTGTAACAGGAAACTTCCCTGCTGATTTTTCAGCTGCTTCTTGGGAGAGGGTCTTTGTGAATGGCTAAGAAGCTGGCCAGAGTAATGATAAACTTGATCATTTTTAAAATGTAATTAAGCTGGTTTTTCAAACACACATGACCATACTCCTCCTTCCCTCACTGTTAATGTAAAGAAAGCTTTGTTAGTCCTAATGCACTCAAGAAATTGGTGCTGTCATATTAATAGTAGTAATATTGTTCTTAGTAATCCATTCTCATCTTCATCATCACTGGCATTTATAGAGCACTTTAAGGTTTATAAATCACTTTACAAACATCTCATTTTGTTCTCACAACAACCCTGGGAGATAGGCACTATTATTATCACCCCCATCTTACAGATGTGAAAACTGAGATGGAGAATAAAGTGACAGCTAGTAAGTGCCTGAGGCAGGGATTTGAACTCAGATCTCCCTGGTCCCAAAGTCAGCTCTCTTATCTATTGTGCTACAGAGCAGCCCAAGTAAGAACTTCAAGGACTTTGGAGATCATCTATCAGTAAACTTTTTTTAAGTTCCTTTATGCATCAGGCATTGTGCTAAGCACTGAGGGTGTAAAAAGAGGCAAAAGATAGTCCTTAGGGAGCTTACAATTTGATGGGTGAGACTACGTGCAGACAGACAGACACGCACACACACACACGAAGAGCAAGCTATATATAGGATAAATAGGAAATAACAGACAGAAGGCACTGCAATTAAAAGGGACTGGGAACAGCTTCCTGTAAAAAATAGGATTTTAGTTGATACTTAAAGGAAGCCGGAGAAATTTACAGTCAAAGATTAGAAGGAAGAGCATTCCAGTTGGGGGTTGGGGGGAAAGGCAGAGAAAATGCCCAGAGCAGAGAGAGGGCACGTCTTGTCAGTGTCACTGGATGAAAGAGTACAGGGTGAGGAGGAAGGTGTAGGAAGACTGGGAAAGCAGGAGGGGCCTAGGTTATGAAGGACTCTGAACACCAAAAAGAGCATTTCGTATTTGGTCTGGGAGATGGCAGGGAGCCAGTGGAGCTTACTGAATAGGGGGGTGACACGGCCAGACTAGGCTGTAAGAAAATAATCTTGGTGGCTAAATGGATGGACTGGAGAGAGCTGAGGCAGGCAGACCCACCAGCAGGCTATTGCAGTAGTCCAGGTGTGAGATGTGAGGGCGGTGTCGGAGGAGTGGAGGAGCAGAGATTCAAGAGATTCTGCAAAGGTGAGATTGACAAGCCTTGGCAATAGCTTGGATTGGGGGGTGGGGTGAGAGAAAGTGAGGAGTCCAGGATAACTTATAGGGTGTGAGCCTGAGGGACTGGGAGGGTGGTGTAATAAGGAAGATAGAAGGGAAGAAAGGCTGGAGGGGGGGAATAATAAGTTTAGTTTTAGATATATTGAGTTGAAGGTGTCTACTGGTCATCCAGTTCGAGATGTCTGAAAGGCAGTTGGAGATACAAGATTAGAGGTCAGCAGAAAGACTGGGGCAGGAAAGGCAGATTTGAGAATCATCAGCGTAGAGATGATAATTAAATTCATGGGAGCTGGTGAAATCACCAAGTTAAGTAGTATGAAGGGAAAAGAGAAGGGGACCCAGGACAGAGCTCTGAGGGACACCTATGCTTAGATGATGTGAGCTGAAGGAGGATCCAGCAAAGGAGACAGAGGAGGAGTGGTCAGACAGGTAGGAAGAGAACCAGGAGAGAGGGGTGTCCTGAAAACCTAGAGAGAAGAGAGGATCAAGGACAAGAGGGTGATCAACAGTGTCAGGTCAAGAAGAATGAGGATTGAGAAAAGATCTTCATTTAACAATTAGGGAAACTGAGTCCCAGAGAGGGCAAGACCTATCCAAATTCACACAATAAATGAACAGCAGAATCAGACTCCCATCCTACATTCTCTTCACCATGTCACCTGAACTAGCTTCACTGCTAGAAAACAAATGAGTGATGAATCATAACCTTACGATCTGTTTAAAGGGATTGTCCATTTGGTCCTTGACATGGAAATAGGTTTATCTTTCATCAAACACACACAGCCCAGAGGAGATGCCCTGTGATGGAGCCAACTCCAGAGTGTACTCCCACCCAAAAAAACATAAAGTGCTGACCCAGGGCTGTCTTTTGCTGCTTCTGTGCTCTAGGCTGGCTGGACTAAGGAGTATCTGCAATCCTGCAGTCAACATTTAGCACCTCTAAGGACCCCAAGAATCGAGCCTGAAGGTCTAGCCACAGTATCTGTGCCACTGTTGCCAAAGCACCTTTCTTCTTTTAATGGCCGAGCCTGGCACAGAGTAGGTGCTTAATAAATGTTTATTGATTAATTGGGATCACTGAATTCTTTGTCCCATCATTTCCAGTTGAGTAGCATGTTGGGGAGAGGGAGTGGGAAGAAGGCATCAATTGTTTGATCTTGGGGAAAGACTGATTTTTTTTCCCTTTCTATTTAGGAAGAAGACATTGTCTTGGAGAACAGCTGGCTAGGATGGAAATGTTTTTGTTTTTTACATCATTGCTTCAGCGATTCCACTTGCATTTTCCACCTGAGGTAGTTCCAAATCTCAAACCCAAATTAGGCATGACATTACAGCCACTACCATATCTCCTCTGTGCAGAAAGACGGTAGCCAAAGGACAGCTATCATGAGGACTCGTATATTTAGACCGTGAAGGATTCTGCTTCCTGCTTAGAATTTCAACAATGGTCCCATTATCATAACTTTATTTGCAACTATTTTCAAAAGTCTAAATTGAGAAATGCAAGTATAAGTGACATGTACGTGGTTTTCTAAATATACAGCTGCACCCCCAAATCCTCCTTTCTAACTCTGCCCACCTTTAAATCTAGATTTCTGATCTTCCAGGAATGTGTATCCAGAGAGGGGACTTCCAGTCAGTCCTCTGCCCTTTCTCTTTCAGAGCAATGTTAGAGAATGAATAAATAAGTAATGGGAAACAAGATTCTGAAGGGCCTCTTGGTGGGGAGTGGGATTTGGTTCCTTCAGCAAATCCTGGCCTTTCTCCCCTTGTCCAGCTAAGACTGTTCCTTGCCTCCAAACTGCAAGAGTTAAGTTAATGTTAAATAACGACACTTCTGTTTATGAAGTAAAAGTGAACAATTTGTCTCTTAGGGTTCCCTTGTTCACACAGGCACCTCTCTGCCTAGTGGTCTCATTCATCAGTTATTTACAACCATCAACAGTAACGATTATAGCATTTGTGAGAACACTCTGCCTTCTGGAGAAAACTCATCAGTACTATTGGTTATTTGGCATCCTGAGACATCAGCAGACTTTAAAACTACCTGTTTTGGTGGCTATGGACAAAGCTTCATGAGGTCCCAGTGAAGGGGATGAGGAAGAGCATCTTCCTCCTAACAGAAAGCAAGGGAAAAGTCCATCAATTTCAGTGGCCAGAGGGGAGGGCCTGTTCTGTGGAAATGGTGGACATCCTCGCTTGAGCAGGGCATGGCTCATAGATTTAGTGTTGGAAGGGACCTCAGAGGTCAGCTGGTTCAACACTTTCTTTTACAAATGAGATAAACCCAGGCACTCTGAACACAAATTCAGTGCCCTTCTCACACTAGGGAATGGAAAGAAGGCAGAGGCCATCCCAAACTGAGGAGCAGTTTCCTGCCTCTCTTATCAGTATGTCATTCGAAGAGACAGCTTGGTCCTTCTTCCCCTCCATAACACTCCCAGTGGACCTGCCTCAAAGCCATAACCTAGGCATGAAGGAATACCTCCAGTCTAAAGCACAGGGATAGTCCAGCTCAAGTTGCTGGGCCCGATTCTTCCTGGTCTTGAGTACATTTGTGCAAAGCCCTTTCTTTGCTTCACTCTACTTCCTCTCAGTGGTTCTGACCCAAGGTGGGATGTATGGAAGAGCCTCAGGAACAAACTCCAGAAATCACAATGGGTGTGGTCACTGAGTGGGGTTCAAGTTTAAGGGGAAGACTCCTACTTGGCTGCAGAACCCCAGGTCTGAGGATGTAGAAATGTTTGACATCAAGCAGCATGAGGTTCATTCATCCACCTAAGTCCCGGCGCTAGACACAGCTGCTGTCCAGGAGAGCTATCCCCATTTAAAGCTTCTCTTAACAGGAATGGCTGTGGTTAGGACGGTTGGCACAATCAACAACCAGCAGGCTGGGGGGGGGCGGCGCTACACCTCCCGATTTGATCAACACCAAAACACCTTCAGTTCAAGCCAATGAGAGATACCTGTGTTTACACAGAGAAATACATCATTGATTTCACTTTGGAAGTTGATGTTAAGATTCAACATGTAAACTTATAGATATAAGTAAAAGGGTATGATTATATTGATACAAAATTTCTTAGGCCTTGTTGCTTTCATGGTCGGTCGGTCTCTTCAAATCCAAACTGACCATAACATTCCCAGTGGTCAGGGAAATTGTTAGGTCCTATCATTTGGACTCCATCTCTCAGTTTTTAATGGCTTGTTCTCACTGTAGTTTCTGTTGACAGTGACCTCCCACTGAACTGTAGCTTTTGGGTGGAGATATTAGTAGCTAATCACTAATTAGTAGTCAACTTCAGTGTGAGGGAAAAGTGTGTTCCAGCTGCTAAAAATACATGCAGTTTTAGATTACTTGAATGAGAAGTCTTTACTGTCCAAAAAGAGAAAGTTCGTCTCTCTGTGCCGTCAGCTGGAGTTCAGATCATTTAGGAGCTCAGTTAGAAGAGGGTCATGGGCTGAAGTAGGCCAGCAGCAAAGGGAAGATGAGGTGAAGACTAGAGAGGCAGATTCCAACACTGAATTAGCAATGAGAGCTTTCTGAAAGCAGGAGGGACAGTCCTGGCAGAAGAGGCTGGTTCTTCATCCACTACGCAGGGAGTTAGATAAGTTCTCTGATTCAAAGATGGTCTCGAAGGCTCATGTTAGTGAGCCTTCATGTATAACACTTGTATTTACACATACACACACACACACAATCTGTATGTATGTGTGTGTATACGTAGATATCTGCTGAATGAGCCAATGAATACATTAAGAAGTTTCCATTCTTAGGCAACGTATGGACTCAACAGTGTGCAAATATTTGCTGTATAGTGAAGGTCATTTGCTTTAAGTACCCGAGAGACTGAGGTCAGTCTGGGGTTCAGGAGAACTAAAGGGAGAAGCAGGGCTTAAGCCCTGGTCTGGCTAGGGTAGTCTCACTTTTTCAATCAGTTCTTGTTAGGCAGATGGCAGGTTATCTGGTCTACACACAGCAGCAGACAAATCATGGTGTGTAGAAGGGACTCTGCACAACAGGTTTGGACCAGACTAACTCAAAGCCTTTCCTCAGCTCCTAGGATTCTGATTTTGTATTTAATTTATTAATTCCCCTCTATTAGCTTAGGGCAGCTATGGCAGTTCACAAACTAACATGCTAGTCTTCCCTGGACAAGCAGAGGGCCACGATCCTTTGAGAAAGGTACCCAACGAGACCTTAGCCCAGACCCCACACCCTCCCCCCTACACAGCACAAAATGAAGTTACACTGGGGGACAATTAGTAGCTTTAAAATATTTAATATACCCTACCAGTTCCTTATGATTATGGAAGTAACAAATTGGACAAAAATACTTTGCAGAGTTTCTTTGGGCTAAAGTCACCTGTTTATAAGCCATAATCAAGGAACAAAAAGTTGAAAAGCTCTAATGTTGAAAAATCAACAGCCAATTGTCAAATTATTCCATTATTTTAAAATAAATTCCAATAACTGAATATTCTAAAAGAATAAAAAAGAATAACACGCTTCTCTTGAGAAGCTAAATGAAAGCTGTACATTAAATCCCCCCAGCCTCCCCTTCAAAATCTTAACCAAAAAGGGCCCTGTGAGTGCCTGCTTTGTCCTGGCTGAGAGGTGTGACGTGCGGAACCAGCAACAACGGTGCTCCTCTGAGGTTGGCTTCTGGTGAAAAACTTGACACACAAAAGGCAAAACCAATAAACTGGGTGAACACGTCTAAATGGTGGAGAAGGTGTGACAGACAGTGGAAACCCTGGGCATTACAAATGAGGTCTCTGTGTTGGAAGCAGGAGGCTTGAGTGTGAACACCCCACCAAAGTGTCTTTTGCAGATGGTGATGCACATTCCAGTCAGATGGGGTGACAGCTGTGCGGGTTAGCGTGGCATCTCCGAGTCACATCAGCCTTGCAAAGATAACACTTTAACCACCAAGAGACCAGAGCGCTTCCCCAGCACTGCCGGATGCCTCTAGTCTAGACTGAGCTCCATCAGTGATTACTTGACAGCATCTGTTTGCACGGGCTGCTCTCAGTGCTCTCCCTGCACACTCCACACAAAATCACACATGTGCCACCGTCCTAGCTCACAAGTGCTGTAGAAAAGCTGTCTATGCATGTGTTTTGCAACCATCTTCGCCACTGTCATCCAAGACATTTTAGGAAGTAAGATGGTTGGCAAAAATCATTTTAGGTAGCAAGAGAAAGACAGAGTCAGGTCAGGTGTGTATGGTAATCCTGAAACTAAACCAACAACTGGGCAATAGGAATAAATACACAGTGGTTATCTTAGGCTTAACCTTTTCTTACATGGCCCAGAATGCATCTGGGGCAGAGGTACGCACATCCAAAGGGGGTGGATGTGTCGGTGCCACTGACCAGGGGAACTCTGACTCTGAAGACAGCCATTCCAATTCTGTATTTACTGCATGCAAAAACACAGAGTATTTTTCCTCTAGCTGTTCATGACCTTTTTGTAGGAGTGGTTTGTGTTATATTCTGCAGTAAAGATCAGAGGGGTTTCAATTCAACAAAAAGAACAAAGAAGAGAGAGTTTCCCGTTTTTGGCTTTGATGTGTCTCAAAATGTATGTATGCAGAAGGAATAACATTCCTAAGGTTATAGCACAGGTTCAGCAATGGGATGGGATTGGAGTTTGTTGGGTTTAGTGGAATATGCTTTAAAAATATTCATCCTGAGTTAAGAGTGAAAAAATGTAGCAGTACTGAGTTTAAAAAAATCTCTTTAAAGATTAAAAAATTCTACCATGGAGCATCGAGGCTTAAGTTTTTAAAAGACAAAATTTGATGTTCACTGCAAACCCGAATCCTTTCAGTAAAACTGCAACAACGATGTATGATAGTCAAAGACATCAGAAATTGATGCACCTTGGTCCATCTGAGTAATTTTTAAAAATCAGAATACAATGTGAATGTCTCACAGCCCCGAAATGGAGAAACTGAGGTGGGAGGGCAGCAGTGAACACACCATGGAGACCCTCCCACTGGGTATACTGCAAACGCCATCTTCATCATTAGACACGAAGAGATATCAGGATGCAAGAACAGAATAGAGTGAATCCCAGTCTCACACAAACCAAAAGTACCTGCCTCCTTAGCAACTGAAGAGTTCTTTCTCAACTTGCAAGAGCCACGTGGAAAGGACAAGCTCTGGATTCAGCACGATAGCCTTTGAACCAAAAGATCTGTCCACAAAGTAGGCTTTCAGAGACTTTACAATCATGAGATTTACGAAGGATTAAACCCAGCTTTCTGTTCCATGCAGTTGAATGCACGAGAATGGGGACGTGGCTACAGCAGCGAGGATCCCATCACAGTATGAAGGCCTTCCCACCTCCTAGAAGATGGGCTGGTCTAAAGTCGGCACAGTGAAGAAACTGAGGCTAGGGTGTAGAGTCCTCTTCGAGTATAGCTTCTTCACCCGTTCTCCCAAGGGAAGGTAACAACGGCACCCCCCTTCTTCTCCCTCAGCATAGTGGAGGTGATGTCGATGGCGATGATGGACGGGAAGATGGCGGTGCTGATAGTGGCAGCGGCATTTCTCCCTCACCTGCTTCCTCCATGACTTAGAGTTCTTTGGTTGGAGATGGAGGTGGACTGTGGCCCTCCACACCCGCCTTGCCGTCTGCAGCAGAGTCCTCACTTCCTCTCTCAACCAGCCTCTTCCACAGCTGATGATTTTCATTCAGATGCTGCGTTAACTGGCAAAACTTGCGGTGCCTGACCTTTTTTTTTCGTTGTGGTTCTGTGAAAATCAAAATACAGCTTTAAAATCTTAGCATCATAACGACAAAGGCTTGTCTATGACTGACTTACACATGAACACAAGAGCCTGGCAACCTAGAATAACTTTCTGAAAGCTATGTTGGTGACACTCTGCGCACAATGGCACAACAAGGGTGGTGCCTTACTTGGCCGGGCACTAGGCGGAGAAGCAGCAGGAGCCACAGTGGCGGTAGCAGTAGTGTGAGCTCTGTCTTGTTCCGACTGTAATTCTTCAAAAAACTCCTCACTCGCAGCATCGTCACACTCTTCCTCTATCCACAGGCCAGGCAGCAAACCTGCTGCATTGTAGGAATTACACAGGGGCCCCACTATGTGAGAGATGAAAGATTCCTGCAGCTTTGCAAGCTGTGGACAGTGGCGATCCATGAAAGGACTGATGGGCAGCCCAAGACTGGCCTCTTCATCTCCCTGAATAGTTTAAGAAACAAACAGAAGGTGCATTTTTATGTACTTCCAGTGTTCAAAGCACACTACCAAGCTCCCTCCCTTACCCTAAATCCCAGTCTCCAATATGGCACAAGAGAATTTTCATGTAAGTTATCACTGTCTTTCAAAAGATTCATGTGAAGGTTGGTTACTTATCATCAGTGTGATAGTCTCCATTTAATGACAGTGATGAAGTGGAGTCGGGAGATCAAATGTTTGTTTGATCAATGTTTGTTTGTCAGCTCTTTCCTTCTCTGTTTCTGAGGCCAACCTAATGATATTTCATCCTCTTTAAAGACTGTGCTGGCTGGCATCTTGAGAAGTTTGCTACAGCTGTGACTCTAAGCACACATAAGCACATCCAGGCCTTTAGAAAGCACTGAGTGCATAAGCAAACTCTAGGCTCTCCTTTCAGTTGGTTCCTTAGTTTTCAGCAGTTGTTCCCTGTCCTTATTCTCCTAAGGGATTTTATGTTCATTCAACAGTAACAGAGCACCAAAAAAAGAGACTGTTTCTTCATTGAGAATCAGCAATATTACTAATATCCCTCTCCCTCCAAAGTGCGTGAGTAGTGAGGGGAAGCAGTGAACTCCCTCCCTTCTCAAGCCCACTTGCTCTCAGAGGCTGGCAGCCAATGCCAATATGCATGCCTTGCTCTCACCCACACAGGTTTTAGGCCCTGGTGATCATGGCAGTACAGGGTGGTCTGCACCAGCTCTTCTGACAGGCAATTTGGGATGTTGCCCATTTTGGGGTCATCTTCCCCCATCTTTCAAAAAGGTGCTTTGTGGAGCATAGTAAGTTTATTTCTCAGAACATTAAGACTTTAGTATTTATATTTTCATTCAAAGACAAGCAATACTTTCAAAAAAGAAAAAGAGAACAATTATTTGTAAACACCTGAAGGAATATCTCACCAAATTTTTTTGCCCCATGGTTAGAAAATTTGGGGCTGACAAGACTGTTCTGTTGGTCTCTAGAGGAGGAGTTAGGATAAACAGAAAGAAGTTATAAAAAAGGCAGTTTTCAGCAATGTGTAAAGAAGCACTTTCTAATAATGGAAGTTATCCCATAGTCTGCTTCATGAGAGAGTGAATCCCTATCCCTGGAGGTCTTCAAGCAGAAGCTAAATGGAAGTAGGATAGGATGGAATGTGGATATAAAAAGGATTCCTATTTAAGTAAACTGTGTAGTAGGTGACCTCTGAGGGTACCATTCAAGAATAAAATTATAGCATTTTATGAAAATACACTGGCAAGTTTATGAAGCACAGGATAAACATCCTGTACCATACACCATAGAGGCCCTATCGAAGGCAGCACAAAGTGGAGGGTGGGCACTGACCTAACAGAACTCTCAGGACAGCATCAAAGAGGGCAGAGCAGAAAGGAGGAAGGTCAAGACAAAAGTAAGTAAAATGTAATCCCAGAGCAATGACTCCTTCATAGAACAGGACAGAATAAAGTCCTGTTACATACATATAAGAAAAGATGGAAAATGACTTGGTCAAAGTTGAAACTGGAGGCAGAGCCTAGACTTGAACTTGGCCAAGGACTTCGACATACTTCCTTCTGTTGACCCATCTAAAGAGAGTGATAGCATTATCTCCATTTGACCAAAGCTTGAGGCCTGGAAGGGCTGTGACTCTCCCAAGATCACACAGTTATTTTATGACAGATAAGAACTTCAGTGCTTCTTATCTATTCCCAATTCTAATCATGAGAGCTAGACCAACTCGCTCATTTTACAGATGGGAAGGTGAGGCCCAGAGAGGGGTCACAATGATGATGTAACCAGGATCCAAGCCAGTGTTCTTTCCACTATATCACAATGTGATGATGATACTAGAATTAATCCTAAGTCTCATATCATACTGTAATTGATACATCCCTAAACAGATTTCTGCCAGTGTAAGGATTTAAAATTTGTTTTAGATATTTTATACAGGCTAGACTGTGTAGTGTAATGTACAGAAAGCAGGTGTTAGTCTCAGGAGACACAGGTTTGAGTCCTGACTGACATTCTAGCTGTATGACAATGGGTTGAGTAGTCACTTAACATCTGACCCAGGCAGCTAAAACTACAAGTCACGGAGAAGTCACTAATCTGCTTGAGCTTGGATCCTGGTTACATCAGCACTGTGACCCCTCTCTGGGCCTTACCTTCCCATCTGTAAAATGAGGGAGTTGGCCAGCTCTCGTGGATGGTGTTGGGAACAGATAACAAGAAGGAAATGTATCAGATGCTCTGCTCCTATAGGTCTCCTGAATCCTAGATCATTCCACTAGAGGGATGATGAAGAGAGGAATATTTAGGAGATTTTCCACAGGATGAAGTAGTAGGAATTCTGTGGAATGAAGAACAGTGACTAATTAAATTCTTCAAGAGGGCTCTGCTCAACTGATAACACTGTAGCTAAGCCTGCTTGGAAGAGAAAATCCATCCACGTCAAAAGAAAACCAACACGCATGGTTTTTCTTTGCCATACTTGAATTGGTGATAGTCTAGTGTATCCTGGGGACAAAAGGCAAGGCCAGAATGGGATGGAGGGTAAGAAGCACTTTAGGGCACTTTGTATGCAATCTGATTATTTCTCTGTAATCTAGCAACTATATGTAAGGAGAAAAAGCTGAATGCCCAACAGGGAAAAGCATCCTCATATTTTGTTTTAAAAACAGAATTATAGAAAGAGTTACCATCTTTGCTTAAACACCGAGTAAAACCTAGTGACAAAGTCAACAAAAGTAGGATTATCCAAGTAAGGCTGTCCCCGGAAAAGTCTAGTGTTTATGTTCATGGCATAAGCTCTACGATTATGGACATAGAATAAAATACGCCCGGGATATGCTTTGAAAAGATCACTTTAAGGCATTTTAAATACTTTTGAGCTAATAATTATAAACTCCCATGTCCCCACAACACAGGGCAGGTTAAGAGCTCAAGATATACAGCCTGGCGCCTCAGTGCCATATGAGTATTCCTATGTGAGTATTCAGTCAGTCAGTGCTCATTAAGCACCTACTATGTTCTTCACACTGAACAAAAGCAAACATGCAATCACTCACTCCACTGATAATTACTTCTGAAGTTAAAGGTGATTATCTACTGAAAGACCTGAATATCATCTTCCAGAGATTCTCCATTGAGTTAATGAGTTTATATTCAACCCAGGATAATATGGCAAAGATCCTCAAGTACACTCACATCCAAATTCAATAATGAGTTATCTGAACCTGAAAATCAGATGTTAGCACAATTCTACTACATTATGTGTGACCTTTGCCAAACGCAGTCAACAATTCAGTCAACAAGCATTTATTAAGTGCCTACTATGTTCCTGGCACTATGAACCAAGAAAGGCAAAAGAGCCTTGCTCTCAAGGAGCTCCCAGTCTAATGGGAGAGACAACATGGAGACAACTACACACAAACTAATCTAGACAAAATAAGCTGCAGAGAATCAAGAGAAGGAAGGCACCGGCATTATGGAGGACCAGGAAAGGCTTCTTGTAGAAGGTAGGGTTTTTGCTGGGACTTGAAGAAGCCAGGAGATGGAGATGACAAAGGGGAGAGCTCCGTGCATGAGAGGCAGCCAGTGAAAATGCTTGGAGTTGGGAGAAGGAGAGTCTGACTCGAGTAACAGTGAGGAGGCCAATGCCACTGTTCACTGAGTGTCACTGAGTGTGATCACACTCTGATCACAAAGCAGGTGGAGAAAAGGAATAAGACCACCAGAAAGGCAGGAAGGGACCAAGTTATGAAGGACTCTGAATGCTAAGGGTAGGAAGTACTGATGGGGGATGGGAGTCTGTGACACAGTCAGACCTGTGCTTGAGGAAGATCAAGTGGAGAACAGATTAGAGTGGAGAGAGAACCAAGTCAGGGAGAGCAACCAGAAATTCAGTAGAGAGCATTAGAGCTGAAATAGTTCTGTTAACAAAAGGATTGTAGAGTTAGGTATTTTCAAGCCTAGAAATAAAATTGTGGACATGATTGTCTGTGGTTTATGGTTGAGGTGGGTGCCCCTGGGTCAACTGGCTTTGTTCTGTCCACCTGCCACAGATTCGAGATGTAACTATCTTGCAAATGCATGCTCTTGGTCACCATGTGCCCCCTATCACCACTACTAGGATCCTAACTCCAGCCATCTGGTGTCCTCTATATAGCAGAAACAGCGTTCTGGAGGGAAGAGGCTTTTTGATCTTACTGTCCTTGCTTGATGCTGGGTCTGATTCTGGGCCCAGTGGCCTTCGACCAAGAGCTGGCTAGCAAGCAAAGAACTCTCTGGACTCCTGCCTCATATTCAGTGCTCTCAGGCCCTTCTCTCCTTTCCCAGGAGTCAGAAGAGGAAGCACCAGGGAAGCCAGCTGTGTATGCAGCACAGACAAAGTTTTTAAAGGTGAAACTTTAGAAGACAAAAAAAAGAAAAATAAATGAGGAGAGAATAAGAGAGTAGGCAGCCTGGTGTAGCACACAGAGAACTGGAATTGTAGCCAGAAAAGCCTGGGTTCAAATCCTGCCTTGGACATTTATTAATTTGGTGACGATGAACAAGCCCTACCCTTCTTTGGGCTTCCGTTTCCTCATCTATAAATAAAGGGATTGCACTTCATAACCACTAATGTCCCTGCCAGCTCTAAATCTGTGATCCTATGCTCTTAGAACTATAAAAGAATAAAAAAGCAACGTGTCCTGCAAAGCCCCGTGATCTACTCCCCGCTCTAGCTCTCTCGGCTGTTCATCTCCCAAGGCAATAAGCTGGAGGGAATGCTGGGATTCCAGTCACAGGGCCTGGGTCTCACTTTTAGTTTTTCCACTTACTAGCTGGGTTATTTTATATAAAGTGATTTAATCTCAGTTTTCCCATCGGGAAAACGTGTGTGTGGTGGTGGGGGGCACTAAATGATCTCTAATGAACTATAAAACCTATTTTGGAGCACAGTCTCTGACCACCCCTGTACTTTGTGTTCCCCCTTCTCCTGGCCTGGGCCATCCAGGACTCCTGACTGCTTACATGGCTTGGATGAGGTGGGGGGCACTGACTATTCCTTCTAGAAAGATGGAAGACCCCCAGGAACAGTTCCCTGAAATCCTGCTGCTGCCCAAGGACCCTGTGCACTTTGCCAGCTTTTGTACCCTTAGGCTTTCACATACACCCTGAGCCTGGATGGGCTGCCCCCCCTGCCCCAAGTAAGAGGGGGATCTCCCTGAAAGGAAGGGCAGTCTCTCCTTTTCTATCTGTATGCCCAACCCCTTAGGATGCTGCTCAGCACACACACAGCATGCATGCTTTAAAAATGCTTTTTCACTCATTCGTTCCTATAAGCTAGACTTGCCTCACCTCTGGACAGGACCAGACTCAAACTAGTCTTCAGTAATGGGAACTAATTCTTGTTCTCACTTCTTCTGATAAAAGCCAAATAGGCTTGGAAAGGAGAATGGGAAGCTGGAGGCTTCCCTTTCCTCTCCTGGGCCCAACCATCAAACATGGCATCTTTTCTGAAGAAGCATGTGCCAGGAGCAGCTACTTTTCCAGGCACCCCGATGACATCTGGACTTACCTGGTCATAAAACTCACTAACAATACCTTCCGTCCACCTCACGTGCAAGTCTTGAGCTTTCGCCGGACCATTTATGTCTGCCAATTTGATGCACACCTGACACACGAGGAGCCGGTCGTCTTCACTATTCCACTGTATGCCAGGACTGTTCACATCATTGGCCTGTTTGAGGAAGAGGAGGATTCTGTGAGCTTCACACATCCCTGTTCCCCACTAAGCCTGACTGTGAGTCTTGCCCAGATGAGACAGAAGTTTCCTTAAGTTCTTAACAACCACCTGTGCCAAGACCTAGAAGGCTCCAACTGTCCTCTAAAGTGATGTAGCCATTTTTGTCCCTCAAGAAAGCAAACTTCCCCAAGTGGTTTCACCAAGCTAAAGGGTTCAATAACTATTTTTATCAATAAATAATCATTTGAGATGGAATAGGGCCTGGACCTGTGATTTCACTAGCAGACATAAAGAAACGCCCTCTAACCAAGGCAGAGCAGCACCTTCTTGGCAGGCTGAAGGCCTTGAAGGCTGAATGCTCAGTTAAGTGACTTCCCTAGGACCACACAGCTAGTATACATCAGGATTTGAAGCCAGGCTGGCTCAGAGACAAGCTCTCTTTCCACAAGGCTATGCTTCCTCTCAATTATATTTATAACTGCCAAACATAATGACAAAAATAGGCAGTGCTGCATAGTGGAAGGCCAGAAGCCCTAAGTTCCAGGCCCACGTGTGACACTGTGTCAGGCCGATAACCCTGCACAAATCCCTTCCCTTCTCACTACCCCAGGGCCTGGACCTGGGATTCCACCATAACAGCAACTGCCTGATGAGGATCTTCCAAATACCAGCACAGCTCCGGGTGTCCTCAGTAATGCAGGAGCAAGGCCCCAAGAGGTTATCTATCCAGGGTCACAGCCAGAATATGTCAGAAACTGCCACTGACCACCTGGGAGATGCTAGGCAAGTCACTCTTTGGGCTGAGGCCCAATGAAATAGGAGGTCTGAACTTAATGATCACTAACATCCCTTCTGCCACTACTGAGATTCTATGATTCCAAGTTTTTATATCCTTTATAAGATTAGTTAAAATTCATTTTAAAAAACATCAGATACAAAAGAATAATGGCAGGATGGCAACTAGACCTTGGACCATTTTTATCTGAATACTAACAAAAAGATGAGAAAAATGAGATAACTACAAAAAATAAGAGTACTGACTACATGGGAAAGCTTACTCTCTTGATTTTGTAACACTGATGATGAAGCACAGGAATCAAGGGAGTCTTCCTTAAAATGATGGGTAGCATCTACCTAAAACCATCAGCAAGTATTATCTATAATGGGGATAAGCTAGAAGCATTTCCAGTGAGATCAGGGTGAAACAAGGATGACCATTATCACCACTGTTATTCAAGATGGTACTGAAAATGTCAGCTTTAGCAATAAGAGAAGAAAAAGAAATTGAAGAAGTTAGAACAAGCAAAGAAGAAACGAAGCTATCACTTTTTGCAGATGACATGATGGTATACTTAGAGAATCCTAGAGAATCAAGTAAAAAATTACTTGAAATAATAAGTAACTTTAGTAAAGTTGCAGGATATAAAATAAACTCACATAAATCATCACATTTCTATATATTACTAACAAAGCCCAACAGCAAGAGATAGAAATAGGAATTCCATTTAAAGTTACTGTAGACATTATAAAGTACGTGGGAGTCTACCTGCCAAGACAAACCCAGGAATTATATGAAACAATTACAACACTTTTCACACAATAAAGTCAGATCTAAATAACTGGAAAATATCAGTTGCTCATGGGTAGGCTGAATTAATATAATAAAAATGACAATTCTACCTAAATTAACTTACTTATTCAGCACTACATCAATCAAACTACCAAAAAATATTTTATAGAGCTAGAAAAAACAATAACAAAATTCATCTGGCAGAACAAAAGGTCCAGAATATCAATGGAACTGATGAAAGAAATGCAAGGTAGGGTGGCCTAGCTGTACCAGATCTTATATTGTATTATAAAGCAGCAATCATCAAAACTACTTGGTCCTAGCTAAGAAATAGTGGTGGATCAGTGGAATAGCTTAGGTGCACAAGACACAGTCATCAATGACTACTGTTTGATACTCCAGCTTCTGGGATAAGAACTCACTATTTAACAAAAATTGCTGGGAAAACTGGAAAATAGTATGGCAGAAAGTGGGCATAGACCAACATTTTACACCATATACCAAGATAAAGTCAAAATGGGTATATGATTTAGATATAAAGGCAGATACTACAAGCAAACTAGGAGAACAAGGAATAGTTTACCTGTCAGATTTATGGAGAATGGAAGAATTTATGACCAAATGAGATAGAGAACATTATGAAATGCAAAATGGATGACTTTGATTACATTAAACTGAAAAGTTTTTGCACAAACAAAGCCAACACAACCAAGATTAGAAGGGAAGCAGAATACTGAGAAAGAATTTTTCCAACTAGTGTCCTTGAAAAGGGCCTCATTTCTAAAATATACAGAGAACTAAGTCAAATTTATAAGAATACAAGTCATTCCCCAACTGATAAATGGTCAAAGGATATGAACAGGCAGTTTTCACATGAAGACATTAAAGTTATCTATGGTCATATGAAAAAAATGCTCTAAATCACTATTGATTAGAGAAATGCAAATCAAAACGACTCTCAAGTACCACATCACACCTATCAGATCTGCTAACATGACAAAACAGGAAGATGAGAAATATTGGAGAAGTTGTGAACTGATCCAACCATCCTGGAGAGCAATTTGGAACTATGCCCAAAGGGCTATAAAACTCTGCATACCCTTTGACCCAGCAATAGCACTTCTAGGGCTATATCCCAAAGAGATCATACAAACGGGAAAAGGATCCACACGTACAAAAACTATCTATAGGGGCTCTTTTTTGCAGTTGCCAAGAATTGGAAATTGAAGGGATGCCCATCAACTGGGGAATAGCTGAAGAAGTTGTGGTATATGAATGTAACAGAATACTATTGTTCTATAAGGAATGATGAGTAGGCAGACTTCAGAAAAACCTGCAAAGACTTACATGAACTAATAATGAGTGAGGTGAGCAGAACCAGGAGAACACTGTACATAGCAACAGCAATGTTGTGCAATGATTAACTCTGATAAATTTAGCTCTTCTCAGCCAAAGCAAGGATCTAAGACAACTCCAAAGGACACATGATGGAAATGCTATCCATATACAGAAGTTGAATGCAGATCAAAGCATACTACTTTCTCTCTTTCTTTTTTCTCTTTTTTTGTTTTTGTTTCTTCTTTCTTGTGATTTCTCCCATTAGTTCTAATTCCTCTTTACAACATGACTAATGTGAAAATATGTTTCATATGAATGTATATGTAGAGCCAATATCAGACTGCACACCATCTCGGTGAGGAGGGGAAGAATGGGAGGGGAAAAAATTTAGAACTCAAAATCTTATGGAAGTAAATAATGAAAACTAAAAATAAATTAATTAAAAAAAATTATAAGGCAGAATGGGACAGTGGAGAGACCATTTGGTTTGAAGTCTGAGGACTTGAAATTCACCTAAACCTGAGTCGACTAGAGGATCCTGGGCAAGTCATTTCATGTCTGTTGGTCTCAGAGAATTCATTTATAAAAAAGGGCATTTGAATACCATATGATTCTAATGACCAAGCCTGGCCCCTGAGATGAGATGAGGAAAGGCATGGCCTCCTTTTCTTGGACAAGGGTGGGCCCAGGCTGTGGCTGTGGACTACTTCATATATGGTTAATGTCTTGGTTAGTTCTACTGGACTGCTTTTTTTCTTTTTCTTTTTAAAATTTTTATTCCCAAGTATGGTCCTCTGGGTAGAGAAGGAGGAGAGAGATATTTGGAAATGAACGTGATTAAAAAAAAAAGATGTCAACAGATTTTTGTTAAGAAAGAAAAAGGAAACTAAATAGTTTTGTGTACTATCAGATGGCAGAAAAGATTTTGAACTAGAAAGGACTGGCTCTAGTCTAGTGTCTTTGAAGACTGCAGTTTCAGTTGAACAGTATGGTCAGAAACAATAGTAGAGAGGGTTTCAAAGATAGTAAGACAAGACACTCAAGACAAGGCAGCTTTCTCAAGGAATTTAGCCACAAAGGGGAAGAGAGATATAGGACAATCGCTAGAGGCGACGGTCAGATCAAGTAAGGGTTTCAACTACTGAGGAGACATGAGCGTGTTTCTATGTAGCAGGGAAGGAAACAATACACACGGAGAGAATGAGAGGAGAGTGGGGTCAATATGCTAGAGAAGATGACAGAGGAGAAGATCAAAGATGTAAGAAGTTGGCCTAGGCAAGGAGAAAGGTCACCCACCTCTTCATCTGAGACAACAGAGAACGCAGATATAGTGAAGGAAGATGTCTGCATGATAAGCTGGAGATGAGAAGAAGCTCTCAGTGAATGGCTTCCATTTTTTCAGTTAATTGTCAGTCATGGTCTTCAGCTGATGGGGTGGGGAGGCTTGAGGAGATATGAGGTTTGGGACATCCAGTATGGAGAGTGTGAAGTTACTGATTAGGGAGAAGCAGGGGTGACTCAGGAGATAGACTGCTAGGCCTGGAGTCAGGAAGACCTGAATTCAAATCTGGCTTTAGACACTTACTATCTAACCCTAGACAAGTCATTTCACCTCTGTTTGCCTCAATCCACTGGAGAAGGAAAAGGCAAACCACTCCAGAATCTTTGCCAAGAAAAAACAATGGCCAGTATTGGCATGCTATGGTCACGAAGAATTAGACATGACTCAATGACTGAACAACAGAATGACTACCTTGCTAGAATGACAACACTGCTGAGATTTTATGACAAATTTGTAGGGAACCAAGTCAGCACAGTCTAATAATTTCCCCAACTCTGTTTAGCTGCATATGAATAACAGCAAAGGAAACAGATCATTCTTGGGATTTGACAAGGCATGATCAGTAATAAAAATTATCACTGAGTCTTCTAAAACTTTCCCATAAAAGATTTCTAATTTTCTGCATTAAACAGAATACAAACACTAATACATTCTTGACAGAATTCTGAAATGATCTAACCATTGTGAAAAACAATTGGTAATTACACTGAAAGAACAACTCAACTTTCCATACCCTTTGACTCTGAGGATCCCACTACTAGGTGGGATCCCCCCAAGGAGGTCAGGAACAGAAAGAAAAGTCCCATATCCAGCACAAGATTCAAAGCAGCAGTTCTGTGGTAGCAAAGTACCGGAAAAATGCAAATGTTCACTGACTGGGAAATGAGAGACTATTACTGTCATTAGCAACAATAACAAGGTTTCAGAAAAGCACAAAAAAAAAATCACAGCCAAAAAACACCTACAAAATGCAAACGAACACTAATAACTGGAAGGACTGAGCTGAGCTTAGAACCAAGTTAAGAAAATGCATTGAAGAGGCGAGGGATAGACTATCTACTAGCTTATATACTTTCAGATACATGTGGGGTGGTCTTGCTGAACTAATTTTCAAATAATAAGGGATGGCTCACTGGGTAACAAAGAGATATATTCAAAAATGGATTGCTGTAAAAACAAAAGAGATAAGATAGACAGACAGACAGATAGACAACTACGATGCAGACAGAGGACCTCCTCTCCAATCCAACTTACTTAAACAAATATAATACAATATTTCTACCTCTAAGTTTATGTAGCAACTCATACAACAAACCTTAGTATTAAAATCAGCAAGGAAATCAAAATGTTTTTTGAGATCTGTAGCCAGAATGGCTTCAATCACTAAATAACGAAAGTGCTTGAACTCTGGTTGATTAAGGTTACTGAGAAAGTTGAAGTCAGGTCGAGAAAGGAACAGGTTCCAAGCAGCAGCAGCATGATGATTTTCCAGGACAGAGCGGTCATTATACAACACAGCCTAGAAAGGAACAAGGAAACATGTAAGCGGGTATCAGATGATATTACATTTTAATAAAACATTTAAAAGACTTTGAAACCAAAAGAAGATAAATGACAAAACACAATCGTCATTTAGAATCAAATAATCTTAGAGCTAGAAAAGAACTCTGAGGTCACACAGCCTAACCTCATCTTTTGGTTAATTGTAGGACTATTAACATGTGGCCTGCTACAGAATACCACCTGCAAAAAGCCTACCTGTTCACTTCTATCTGCATCAAGGATTAATGTTTAGATATGTGTAGAGATTATTCTCATGAAGATTTTGCAGAAATGGAAACATAAGCATGGAGCTCAGGTGTTAACTAGTATTTTCTCAATCATTGGGGGAAGGAAGAAGGGAGTAATAACACAAGTGATTATTCTCCAAGGATCTGACTGGTATCTTCCCCCTTTTTTCGGATCTCTTGAGACTCAATACAATAACATACTCAAAACTGAGTCATCTCCGGCACAGATACCCTCTGGCAAATGGAAGAATCCGGATGCCCTTCCCACCATTTATAATCGTTAGTGCTTTTTCTACTTCCTCATGTAGCCCCTAGGGATTGTGAGGTTAGAGCTCAAGTGTGGTGGCTCCACCATCATTAATGTAGGATATGTAGTCATTTCATAGTCATTTTAACAGGTTTTTCCATCTTTCCTTTGTTGTCTTTCCAGTTTCATCCTTAAAAGCTCTTATGAAAATTTAGCTTAACATGGTCTCTCTCATCAACCTTTCTATCTGTTTTTTTGCTGTAATACCCACTGTGTGTTAAGATGTTCATAACCTTCTACTATCTTCTGAAAAATTTTCTTATTAGATTTAAGTGTTTTATTTTTACATTCAATTTGTTTCTTAATATGCCCTTCTCCCTTTCCCTACCCAGAAACCTTCCCTTATAACAAATATTAAAAAGAAAGCAATTCAGAAAAACCAACCAACACAGATATTGCTGGCATAAGATTTCAGAAACAAATTTAGATCCTAAACCAGTAATGTGAACTGCCATATCTCTCTACTTGGTATGGAAAGGAAGTGTTTACTGGCTAAGGTGGTTTCTAGGGTTTTTTGATCTCCTTGTTATGGTGACTGATTTGTATTGTTTAAACTTCTTTAGGAAACAGTGATACTATATTGTCAATGTTCTATCCATTCCCCATTCTGGAGGCTAAAAACTGAGTGAGATAGACTGCTGGACATATTTCTTCATTTTTATTTTTCTCCTTGATTTTCATCTGTGCCACACAATGATTACTATGTAAACAGCTGATATGGAAATAAGTCTCACATTGTAATCAACTGTTTCCTATCAAGATAAAATCAACGTTTTTATGTTATTCAGCATCTCCTGTCTTCTTGAATAAAATGTTAATGATAAAAAGGCATAAGGCCTTAGTGTAGTCTAAAAGCCTCTGGCCCCTTTGTTTCTCCTGAGACAACTTTTCCCACATTTCCAAGGTGCCCTTATGCCCACATCTTTGCACTGAAGTCACTACATATTAAAATGTGTATTTAAAATATTAAAATATATGTGAATTGAATCTGGAGGGTCTTATTGGGATCTTGCCAGGATCTCTCTTGCTCCTCATCCTCTACAACAGATATTTGTCTTTTTACTTATCATATATTCTGCCATTTAAAATGGTAGAGCCTCATGAAATGTTACTTGTTTTTGTTTTTGTATAAAGTCACTCTATTATTTGCCCATCCAGAGGGAGCCCATGAACCATCTTTCAGTTCAGATCCATCTTTTTTGTCTCCTGGTTTCAAGTATAGAGAGAATGTCAATACAGGTATGATTCAGATCCTGCAGGGGCATGTCCACTTGTTATGCCATTGCAAAGGATCTCATATTAAGTTAATATTTATAAACAACTTGATTTCTTCCAACAGAAAATAAGCTCCTTGAGGGCAGGGACCATCTTCGTTTTTGTCTTAATATCCCTATGACCTAGCATAGTGCTTGACCCATAGTAGACACTTAACAATAAATGGTTGGTGAAATGAAGTTTCTGGCCCCTTTTCTGTCCCTCCACCATCACTGCAGAAGTAGAAGGGGAAAGCCCAGCTCTGGGGGTCATTTTGTATTTGCTTCCTTATAAGGTATAAATACAGGAAGAGCTAGGGGATATATAACTGAAGTGTTAAATATTAAATATTAACATTTATTATTATATTACTACACATATTATATTTATTAATACATATTACTCTACGCAGATCATCTGAGCGAATGATCATCATCATCATCATCATCATCATCTCCGACAATAAGAAAAGGCCAACAGTTGTTCCTAATACCTAGAAACATCAGAGAACACAATATGGCTGAAGAGTCTATCCCAGTAAGGAAGTCTAAGAATAATTTGGGTTAAATGGACGGGTAAAGTAGAGCATAAAAAAAAAAATCACAGAATTTAGAAGGGACTTGATAGATATTCTCATCCAAAATTCTTACTTTATGGATGAGGAAGCTATTGCCCCAAAAGGGAAAGGGACTTTTTGCCCAAGTTCAAAGAGGCAGCTAAGTAGTAAAGCCAGGACAAAAGATCTGAACAATATTTGGCCTTTTGGATAAAAGGACTTACTGCAAGGAGGGCTTTTTGGAGGAAAAAAATTCTACCCTGTAGGCAACAGAAGATGATACAGGCTCTATACATCCTTTCCTTATCTATGATGCTCGACATGAGCACATAGGAACTTTAAACCAGGTGTATATGTATGAATGAACAAGTGTCTGTAGGATGTCTGTAGGCTATTCTCACTGAATCCTCTTATTTACCAGACCTAACAAGCTTTATATAAGAAATTTTGCATCAGCTCATGCATCCTAATTGTTTTTTTCTCTGGTCTAGCAGCATTGTCCAGTTTAGGTCACTGTTGACTAGTCACTCCTTCAGGAACTTTTATACCGTATTAATCCCTGAACTTACAGATACTACGGAAATCTTGAACACGATTACTAAAACTGTTGTGATATTTAGCCCAAAGTTCTAGAAAACTATAAAGTATGAACAGACAGGTAAAACACAAAAGTTGGACTACTATTATACTTTCCTAAGGTCAGGTCTTTACTATTTGAAGTATTCTGTATTCCTAAAATAGCTGATAGCCTAATTTCCACATGTTCATCTAAAATCATATTCCAAATCCAAATATAAATGACAGATCATTTGTTATTTGGAGAATATCTTTAATTCAGTAGCAGGAATAATTTGAAATGTGTGTGTGTGTACATGGACACTGCAGACCAAGCACCTGACCTTATTCAGTGATGAGAGCCTGCCACTACTCCCCCAGCAATCCACTCCACCAAAACTGCTAATGACTCTAAGCAGGCTGGCTGCCTCTAACAACTGGCTTCTCTCTTCTGTTTGTAGCAAAGCGAAGCTTCTTGGTTTGGAGGGGATGCGTGTGTGTGCGTGTGTGTGTGTGTGTGTGTCTGTCTGTCTGTCTGTCTGTGTTTACATAATACAATGGAAAGAACACTGGTCTTGGGGTCAGCTGTACTTATGCTATCCGACAGGGCTGTTACAAGGAAAGTCCTTTGTAAATTTGAATGTGCTTTATAAATGATGGGGTATGATGGGGAGGAATCTACCAAAGCAACATTTAATTTATAGTTTTCCTAGCCAAATCTTCCCTTGTTTCTTCCCCTCCAAAGTCCTTCTCCTCAGTAACTCTTCTGAAACTGCTTCTCTTCCAGAGTTAATCACATACTTAGGATTTGTCTAGACAGTCCACGGAATTGCAGCCAATAAAGCAGACTGAAAAGATGGTGCAACGGGCAGAGTGCTTGGCCTGGAGTCAGGAAGATTCATCTTCCTGAGTTCAAATCTAGCCTCAGACACTCACTAGAGCTAGATGACCCTGGGTAAATTACTCAACCTTGTTTGCCTCAGTTTCCTCGCCTGTAAAATGAGATAGAGGGGGCAGCTAGGTGGCGCAGTGGATAGAGCACCGGCCCTGAAGTCAGGAGGACCTGAGTTCAAATCCGGCCTCAGACCAAATACTTGACACTTACTAGCTACGTGACCCTCGGCAAGTCACTTAACCCCAATGGCCTAAGCAAAAAGAAAAAAAAAAAGAGAAGGAAAATGGCAAACCACTCTAGTATCTCTGCCCAAAAAAAAATCTCAAATGGGGTCACGAAGAGTTGGACACAACTGAAACAACTGATCAACAACACAAGAAAGGAAGGCAAGAAAAACGGCCAGAGCCACAGAACTGAGATTCAAAGGCAGAGAGTAAGAGAAAGGGAAGCTGGGGGCGGGGGTATATTGTTCTTCACTGCCTGAAAAGGAACCTTTGGCCAAAATATGTTCCTACTTTAACATTAACACTCTGTGTGTCCCCACATTCATGTGCTTGACACTTAGAGCAGCCTCTGACAAACTGCAACACTAAAGACTTCTCACATTCAATCATCTCCTTCAGAACTATGTAAGACATCCTAAGGCATGTTCAGAAGTTCCACCAAAGTCCAGGTAGTCTGCATCTTGTCCTAAGGTTTCAACAAACAAAATAGAGGACATCTCATCTACCGATGTCATTGCCAAGTTGTTTGCCTTCATCACAGTCACACCTAGCCCAGAAATAGCTTTTCTAGAAGACAGATGAATCCTTCCTCCATCCATTTCCTGCTTTTTAAAAATACAGGCTAAAGTATGCTATTTTGAAAGCCTCCTTCCCTAACTGAGTATGACTCTCTTTGTCCTAGATACTCCTTGACCCATTATTTATACTTTTAAGGATAACTAACTGATTCAGAACCAGCACATAACCCTGAGGTACATGCCTGGACCTGGCTAATAAAAAAAGACAGAAAGAACAAAAGAGCTGAGTGACTCTAACAGGAAGACTACAGAGAATCAGACTCAGTTTCCAAGTCAAAGACAAAATCATACAGAACAGCTCCAGTGTTTTTTCACAGCAATGTCTGTCTTTCATAAACCATTTACCAATGTCCATCTGCACAACCAAAGGGGGAGATTTTTGACCATTTCCTTAGGACACATTGATGTATGCAACACATCAACATCCCTTAAAAATCAATGAAGGGTCCAATGGAGAAAATGGTTATATAATTATATTAATTTTCTAAAAGTATCTTAACTATTCCTCTCCAAGTTTTGTGATTAAAAATGTTCCTACCTGAGGATCACTGGTAGCAACCAAAAACGCATTTGTCCGCCCTGGGTGATCATAGTCATGCATAGCGGCTGCCACATAAAGAGCCATCAGTTCCAAGGCAGGAATGTTCAACGCCACACAGCCATAGTTTGGATCCGTCATTGGGCAACTTTTGGAGGAAGTATATGAAATGCGTATGGGAGAAAGTCCACTACTATATTCTGGGGGGAAAAATAAACAGCAAAAGTAGCTGTCATTTTCAGTTCAAGGCAACAAAGATTTATAAAGTATCTATTACATAAAATGAAGGCTTGGCATTTTCAGATATAAAGAGAAATGATTCAATCCCTGCCCGCACATAGACTTTAAGGTCTAGTGTAGACAGCATGACACAGAAACAAATAACTCTATTGGAAAGCAGACTATGTTAAGAGGACAGTAAGCTAAGTGATCTATCAACTCTTGGAATGAAATGTCAATATGGCCTGGGGAAAAGGAGATTAAAGAAAGCTTCACAGAAGAGGCAGAATCTGAACTGGCCCCTGAAGGCCCATCGCCATGCTTAGCTTCCTCACATTCAGTATTACTTGCCTTATTTTCCTATAAATAATCTTATAACTCTTTACATGCGATGACTGACACAGATAACTAAAAGTTATCAGCTCTGAAGTATACATAATCAACTCTTCTGTTGTTGTTGGACTTAGGACTTCATTGGTATAGGGATCTCCTGATAAGGACGCTGTCTCTACCATAGCAGACTAGTAACTCCTGCACACTTTAATAATATCAGAGAACTGCCTGGGACGCTGAGACATTAAATGTCTTGACCATGGTAATCTTGCCTCCTTAATGTGGGTCTATATCTTACATAGGGTATTCCCAAGAGGCAGAATAACTACTTGCCTTTCAGGTTAACCAGGCTGAAGTATAGGGATCCTTTGTTCTGAAACTGAAGAAGCCTCCCCTAATGAAATATGAACTCTCTTTGTCCTCGGTACTCCTTGACTCATTATTTCCATTTTAAGGATAACTGACTGATTCATAACCAGCTCATAACCCTAGGCTACATGCTTGGACTTGGCCTTTAAAAGAGAATTCAAAAGAGAAACAGAAACAAAGAGATGAGTAACTATGAGAGGAAGACTACAGAGACTCCAGCTCAGCTCCCTGAGGTAGAAGCTGGCTTATCTGCAAGGTCTAGACAACAACATAATCCCAAGAGAAGAGGAACCATGTGGCTACATAAATGACAGTAGCACAAGGCAGAATAATGGTGACATTCCTAGACTAACCAGAAGCCAGAGCAGAGGAGCAACAAAAAAAGAGAGTGCCACAATATGAAGGGACAAACCCAGTTTGCCCTTCATTAGTACTGTGAGTTAGAAGGCACTCCCAAGTGACACTCTACCCTATTTCTTTAGCCCTTTTGGGATGCCAAGGTCACATGACTAACAATATGGAGAATTAAACATTTTCTCCAATTCTTCTGAACTCCCAAAACTCCTCAAAATAAGAATTACATGCAAGAGGTAATTACTCGTGTCTCCACAGGACAATACACCAAGTCTAATGAAGTAACAACTTGATAATAGCATAAAATTAATATAAATAAATACCATAAATTAATACCACAGAAGGCTAATCTCTAATCACTAACACAGCGTCCCCTCTTCTGCCAATCCCCACAAACAGGCAAAGTGGCATAGCCTGTCCCTGTGATCCCCTCACCAATGACTTTACTCCTGACCATCCAGGGCCATCTCCAGTCATCTTGATCTATATCTCACCACTGGACACAGACAGCTCTGGAGGAGAAAGTGAGGCTGGTGACTTTGTCCAGCCCTCCCCTCACTTAAATCCAATTCACTTGCATGTCATGGCATCACCTCCCCTGATGTCATGGTCCTCTCTGAGAATGAAGGACAAACCACAGCAACAATAAGAAGTTGTTGCCACAGTTCTCCACCCTCACCACCCCCCATTCTGTGGCAATAAGCAGTAAAATGTAATTCTGTCACCCAACACCTTTTCTAGTTAATCTTTGCAGGATTTGGAAGCACTGGAAAGTGAAAGTGTACTCTCTACCTTGGGCTTCAAGCATCTTGCTTGGGGTGGGGTGGGGCACCAGGCATGATGGAAAGGATACTGGTATTCAGCTACATCCAATTATGTCCCTCCAGATGTCACTTGGGACAGGAACTAAAGCCAGTGAAAAGTGAATTCCCCAATATGGAAAGAGACTATGACAGCTTTGAAACCCAGCCCTCAGAGGATCTACCATCAAAGGGGAAGGTGTCAGAAAGTGAATGATAGTGGAACACAGAAGAAAAAAGACAGAAATTACCAAAGATCTCAGGAGAAAGAAAACAGTTAAATATCCTGAGCACAAGCATATAAACCAACAGGTAAGCTATTAATAACAGAAGGAAGAATGGTCACCGGGACATCTAAACAAGTCCAAACATCTCTGAATAAATATTGTAAAATGAAGGAAACTGACTGAGGCACAGATTCACTAGAGAACACAGAACCACAGTAAGATACTCTGAATGGTTCAAAAAAAGAATCATGAGGGCAGAATTTATGGCCTACATAGCAGAAATAATTGGCAGAACAGAAAAAAGTGAATCCATGGTGGTGAGTCTCCAGAGAAGCAAAAGAAAGAACAATTGTTTGAGAACACAAATATACAGAAAGGACAATGTGGAAGAAGAGAAGCAAAAATCACAAATTATCTATGCATCTCTATAAAAGCAAAACATATTGATCTTGAGGACAGACAGGATGTGTAGAGACACTTAGGATCAAAGACCTTCCAAAAGACATCACAAGTAAAAAAACCTGAATACCACAATGTAAGGGAAAGTACCAGAAAACTTCCCAGAACTTCTAAATACAGAAAAGAGTCAATGAAAAGAATCCACAGACTGCTTCCAGAAAAACAAAAACAAAACCCTGTGCTACAACCCTAAAAACACACAGTGGTTTAATTTAAATAATTTCAATGACAAACAATAAATTCTGCAAGCAACCAGGAGAAAGGCTTTAAAATATTTTTAAAAAGAAAGAAAAAGAAATCTGAATAATAGAAGGTTATTTTGCACCCACCAAAAACCCCAGAAAGGAATGGAATGTGTCCCAAAGGGCAAAGGAGCTCAAGATATAATCTGAAGTGACATTCCCATTAAACACGAGCCTAATCATTAATGAAAAAAAGATGGATATTCAATTTTTAAAAATCCACTTAAGGCATTCCTAACAACAATAAAAAAAAATCCTTAGGTGAGCAAATCATTTGCTTTGCCAACACCCCAGACAACAGAAACACAAGAAAAGTAAGTGAACATAGTTACCAAATAAAGTATAAGAAATTAAATAAATTAACCTAGTGGGGGGGAGTAAGAAAAAAGAAAAAGTCACCTACGAACTTAATAAAAGCAAAGGAACCATTAAGAGATTTCTAACTGTACACAAAGAGATAAAGATAAAAGTGGAACCTAAATAGAAGTGAGGAACAGGCATGAAAAAACATGGACTAAATCAATGTTTTTTGTCAGACTTATCTGCAGAGAGGGCCAATAAAAGGGAGCTTAAAAAAAGATTGAGGGAAATGCACAATGTACCCTATTCAAGTCAACGGTAAACAACGAAGGGAAGATAACTCCTGTAGTCTCTCAGGAAGAAGAAAGGCTACAGGAAAATAGGTAAAATGGCAAAGGGAGGAATTGAAACGGGGAAAGAAAGGAAGATATCTTACTTCTGTGGTGGGAGGGGATCCCACTGAAGAACACTGCCATGGGGAAAGAGATCTATTCTGTAATGGGAGATGGGGACTTTACAATGGACCTAATCTGTATCAATTTGTTGTTCAGAGAGATTTTTAGTAGAGTTATGAATAGATCTGACTGTTTTCAATATAAGCACAGGGTTATGCAAGCAACTAAACTGCCCATATATCGTTTCACCTAATGATTCCCCTACTGAGCATAAACCTCAAGGAAGTTAAAGATATGAACAAAGATCTAATATGCACCAAAATATTCATAGTAATATTCTTTGTGGTAGCAAAGAACCAGAAACATAAGCTTCAATCTCTACTAGAGACCAGTGTAATTCTCCACACAGTTAAGATACTATTCTGTGATTGAGGTTTCTCTGAAAGGACAGAAGCATTGCCCCATGGTAGAAATTTTATTGTGTCCTTGACTTTGCAGTCCATTTCTGCTCTTTGCCCTCCCCATGATTATTTTCATTCCAATTTGTCATGAAATATCCTCTCTGAGTCTATATCATTCCACCCTTCTGGGTAGTTGTCTCGAGTATTCTGGTAGGTTATTTATTTTATATCTTTCTCAAGGACTTGGATTAAGGTTTAGATGCAATGCACATGCAATCTATAGATAAAAGAAGCTGGGAGCTGGGAGCTATAGATAAAAGAAGTTGTGTCACATTAGGTGACACAACTGGAATCCCAAAAGATTTCAATGGGCCAAGATCTAGTAAGATGAAATACAGCAAGGATAAATGTTAAGTCTTGTGACTGGAATTTTTAAAAAGCACAACTACACAAGAACAGAGTTAAAAAGTCATGGATATACAAGTCACATGAAAAAGGCCCCTCAGAATTTTAGTGGTCCACAAGCTCAACATGGCAACCAAAGAAGCTAGAGGGCTCTTAGTTTTTTCTTAATATAGTATCTAGAATGGGAGAAGATAAAATCATTCCACCTCTCCCCAAATCCAACCACAATTCACAGGGCCAAATTTTAGGAAGAACAATGATAAGCTGGAATTCATTCAACCAACCAATAAAGATTTATTAAGCACCTACTAAGTGCCAGGCACTGTGTTAAGCAATGGAGATACAGAAAGAGACAAAAAAACAGTCCCTGACCTTAAAGACCTTACATTTTAACAGGTGAGATGACATGCAAACCAATATGTACAAACAAGGCATGATTCTGTTGTTGTTGTTCAGTTGTTTCAATTGTGTCCTACTCTTTATGACCCAATTTTGGGTTTTCTTGGCAAAGATACTGGAGTGGTTTGCCATTTCCTCCTCCAGATATACATTATAAACAGGAAATAATTAACAGAGGGAAGACACTAGAATTAAGAGGGGCTGGGAAAGGCTTTCTGTAGAACATGGGATTTTAGTTGGAACTTAAAGCCAGTGGGCAGAGATAGAGGGAGAGCATTCCAGGCAAGAGGGACTGCCAAAGAAAATGCTTGGAGCCAAAAGACAGAGCATCTTGTTCATGAAAGTACAAGAAGGACAGTGCCACTGGATCAAAAAATATGTGGCGGTGAGTAAGGTTAAGAAGATTAGAAAGGTAGGAGTCAGCTTAATTATGAAGGGCTCTGACTATCAAACAGGATTTTGTATTTGATCCTGCAGGCAATAGGGAGTCACTGGAGTTTACTGAAAAAGACCTCCACTTTAGGAAAATCACTTTAGTGGCTAAATGGAAGATGAAGTGGAGCCAGGAGAGATACACCAATTAGTAAGCTATTGCTTTACTCCAGACATGAGGTGATGAGGACCTGCATTAGAATGGAGGTATATATGCATATATAATGTAGCATTATATTTTAGAAACTAGGAATTAATGAGTCAGACCCTCTTGAAAGTTAAAGCTTTAAGTTTGATACATTTATAATATCCAAATAAGAAATACTGGCAAAAGAAGAATCCAAATGAATATTCATTCAGATTAAACTACAACAGGATTCACTGATTTGAATCACTTTGAGAGATGGTGATTTGATTCTACTCACTGTCTGATTCACATTAAAAGGAGGCCCACAAAAGTCAAATGAGAAAGCTGCTTCTGCATCAGTTTTGTTAACACAGAATCTAACCTTCAGTGCTGGCCTATCAGCTTCTGTGTTTGCCATTTTTTCACCAGATCCTATATAACATGAATCAGGACAACAATAACAAACAATATAACATGGCTGATCAATGATAAGTGTTACTGGGGCTTCCCATCAGCAGCATGGCAACAGGAAATGGTGGATTTTCAGAGATTTTCAGATTTTCAGGCACTCTTTGATAATATTTTAAATCCTTGTGCTGAGACATTTCAACAAGAGAGTAATAAATAAAACTGATTACAATTTATCCTACTAATGAATATGTATTAGTAAAATATTTGAATGTTTCACCAGAGTCACGGCTCTATGATCTTTGATCCTTATGAAGTCTCTGATGGAAAGACCTTTCTCTTACTACAGTGGAATCTATATGTGTTTCTATTTACTACTGAATGTGTATTTGTAGTACACAATGCATTACAAATGTATGATTGGTCTCTTATGGGCATTTCTCTGAGGGAAAGTGACCAGCACATTCAGAACGAAGGGAAGCAGGTACAGCCAACAGTTTGGCTGGGACTTATGTGAAATGTTAACTGGACACAGCTGGAATCACTCCTAGTTCTGCAAACAGGCCAAGAGCTTGTGGAAGCCAGAACTTTGGGACATGCAACAGGGAACCAGATCTTTGGTGCTGGAAAAGAAAGAGAACTGGCCTTAGGTGCTGGCAGGAAGTGGTCATAAACTGGTTAGTTGGCCATGAGATCAATCCAGTGAGTACATATTTGAGATAGGCCTGGATTAGTGCAGAAGGTGATGGAATGGCATTTTACTCAAGGGCAGAGTCAACCTATATGACAGGGTAGTACAAATGGTAAAGAAAGGATTTGAACTCAGGTAAGGAAACTGTGTCAGATATTTATTACTAGATTGCAAATCTCCTACTACAAATTTTTTAATGTTCTGTAAACTTCTGCACTTGATACTTTTTTATTTTACCTTTTTCCCATGGTTGCTAGTGAAGTTCCTTTTTGAAATACTTAACCTTTGTCTCACGTGACATGGGAAGAAGAGTCTGTCTATCCCAAGACATAGAACCCTAGCAACTGGGTAAAGATCAGAGGAAATGGTAGAGAGAAAAGGGCCACCATTCCAGCAGCAACTCTATGGTACGGGCCTATCAGAAAGTCAACTCATCTGCGATTCCATCACGAGTGTTTTCCTCATTCCTTCCTCGCATGTTTCCTGGCATAGGCAGTAACTAGTCATGCCAAAACACAGAGCTCAACACTAGTTCCTAACCTATACTTCCGCATCCCCAAACCAAAAACTTTTGTAATATGAGCACTATACAATACCACCCAATTAATTTCGACTTCTCTATACGGAGTAAAATACTTGATAATAATGTAATATTATTAATTAGTATTATTATTAATCAAGTACTCATTAAAGCAGAAGTTACCGAATTGCCCAGAAGGTACAATAGAGTGTTTTCTACACGGCCTAACTTATTCTCAGGCTTATCCTTAAACATTCCTTTACTGAAGGCAGTACCTGTGCGAATCACCTTCACAAGATCCTGACGGATCTGTTTAAATCCAGGAATCGGCCGAGTTGTCAGGTACCACACTGCATGCAGGACATCTGTAGCATGTACACGATTGTGATCTACAAATCATCAAAACATTAGAGAAATAAATTCATCTATTACACATGAAAGAAGGGTTGAGAAAAATGAGACATTGAAGAGATATTAAAAAGTCTTATCATATTGTTCAAAACCTAAAAAGATCTCTAAAAAGAAAAGTAAGGCATTGTCTCCATTTTACATATTTTTCCTTACCACCTTCTTCTTTTGCACTTACAGTTTGCACGTCCACTCATGTTGAAAAATGTCATTTTCCAAAGATTACTCTGACCACTTGCTTTCTCAGGCAAAATTTAAAGATTGACAACCATTTTCTCATAGCACACTGTTTTTATTCTGAACTTAAACACTAAATAAAATGGACATTCTATATACATCCTAGAACAGAAAAGGAGAGTTATACATGAAACTGAAGACTTCTATTATACACAGCTTGCTTTTCAAGTACACAATAAAATCAACCTTCAATCTTCAAAACTGATCCATAAAAAAGCATTTTTTTTAAAAAGACTGCATCCCTCTCTAAGGGTTACTGATGGACCTGATCCCACTGGATCTCAAAGAACTTTGGCCTGTTCTGTTTGTGACCCTCCTGTCCTGTCAGGTGGCCCCCACTGCCACGGGCTCACCATATCAATGCCAAACTTAGCGCAGACAATCAGTTGGTCGGCTTGGCCCAGAGCAGCTCACAACTCCTGAGCTCAAGGAATTTCCGAGCTTCAGCCTCCCCAGGAACAGAGAAGAGTGTCTGGGCCGGCACACCCAGCCCAAACAAGTACTTTTAGAGTGTTTTCTTCACCTATATATTGTTGCCTGGAGGACGATGTGAGAGAAAAGATAACACCATTACTGGCATGTCACAAAATCTCAAGAAGCAAATGTTCTGAAATAATTTTTTAAAAGAGAAATTCTACCCACACCAGCAGTTTATTCTCAGATCCAACAGTACTGTGGTTATTACCACAATATTAAAATGCTGGCATCCCCACGTCCTACCCTGGAAATAGCTTTGGGGATAAAGTCCTGATCTCTTCTTGGGACCCAGTGGATCACTGATTCAGAGCTAGACAGATCTTGGAGGCCGTTTTGTCCAACCTCCTCATTTTAGAAATTCAAAAACTGAGGCTCAGGGAAGTTAAATAACTAACCCAGGAACTCACAGTGAACATTAGGGATAGGTGTTGAATTCAGATCTTTTGACTCTGAGCCATTATTTGCCTTTTTATTATAAAAATCAGAATAGAAAAAATGCCAAGTAATCATGAGTTCTGATTTACCAAATAAAATACTCATGGGAACAGCTCCTAAGTTGAGAAATCACCCAGAAAATATTCTTGCAGGTCCATTATGTGTTCAGTGAGAACTGGGTCTCAATCTCTATCTCTTCAGTGAGCATGAACTCACAAACTCTAGATAGCCACAATTTTCCAGAGCATAACTTGCTTCCTTCCCATTAGCGCAGGTAGGAATAACAGCTCAGTGTGTGTTCCTGTTGCTGGATGTTTACTGCTTCACAATTTACAAAGCTCTTTCCTCAAAACAACCCTGGGAGTTAAGTAACTGAAGTATTATCTCCATTTTATAGATAAGGATCCTGGGACTAAGAACAGGAAATGCTAAGTCCTCAGTCACATGATTAGGGTAGCAAAACCTGACCTGGAAATCAGGTCTTCTGACTCCTCCATGACTATCAAAAGCTCTGACCACTTCGCTACACTATCAACAGCCCATTTATTCCTCCTGGGATGGGCATTCTTCATATCCTCCCAAATCACTTTCATAATTTTAAAAGAAAAAAGTCTCTATGAAAGAAGAAAAACAGTCTTCTGAAGTGGTAAATGGTATTGTAAATTTATATTAAATAGTGTATAAAAATTACCATCTCCTAGAGCATAGTTTTTTCCCCCTCCTTCACTCTTCTCCCTCTCCCTTTCTCTCTCCCAAAAGCAGAATAACTAATGACTTGTCTTAGCAATCATATTATCCTTCAAAATCTGGAGGAACCTAAAAGGGAAATTCTGCTGTAGATCCGATTCTTACTAACAGGGAGAAAGCAGTTGCCAGAGAAGGGGGGGACTACTTAGGGGAAATTTGTAGGAAAGTAACCACTTCATCCTAGTTTGTGATAGAAGAGAGGAGTTCTGAGCATAGTACAACACACAGCCCAGATTTTGGAAAAGCAAACTTCAGAAGATTCATAGAAAAGATAGGTAGCATTTTATGGACAAAAATACTTCAGAGAAAATCAGTGTAGGAGGGAAGGGAGATATTCAAGAATAAGCCACTGAAGACACGAAGGGAAACAAATTCCAACCGGGAAGAAAACTGGGACTTGTCTGAAGAGATCACTGTGGATACACAAGGAATTCACCAACCAACAAACCAACCAAGAATGAAGCCAGGCCACGCAACAGGAGATGGATGGAAGGAAGAGCCTGGCCCAGGCCTAGAAAGCAAGTCAGTGATATTGGAGTTCATGATGAGCCAAGGCACAGGCATCATTTTTTAGAAAGCTCTAGTAGGAGACCAAGGGGGGTCAGATCAGGAAGGGACCTTTGCTGGGGGTAATGGGATGGTGGGAAATGACCACAGGGAGGAGGCAACTAGGGCTGCTTACTTCTGCTTTGGCTTCAGTTCACTCTGAAAATGACTGAAGGGAACTGATACCCAATAAAAGTAAGGAAGAAACACTAAGAGGGAAGAGATTTTGAATCAAAATCCCCTAACCTGGATGCAATCCATCCTCGGATCCTAAAAGAACTCAAACACTTGATTGCTGAGTCACTCGCTGTTGAGCATGGAGACAAGTGGAGGCTGGCAGGCGGGCAGGGGGAGGCTGTGGATGGTCTTCAGGCTCAGTCAGTTCCCCTCCTTCTACCAACAGCTCATGGGATATCAGCTTGAAAAGCTGGCTGCTGGGGCCAGCTGGATCTCTTGCATTTCTATGGTTCCAGAGCTACTGCAGCTACTAAAGTGGAACATCTATTCTGCAGTGCACAAGAAACGATCCTCTTTCCTACCATGGGTTTTTCACCGTAATAGAAATGTGGAACACTTCTTACATCACCATATTTCTGGGAAGATTGTGCCTTTCGATTCTTTGCCTTAGCAATAAATCTGTGCACCTTCACTAGTTCTGCCAGAAAGTTTGCTGGCTCCAGTGCCTCTGGGACATGAGGGATTCCAGTGTCTGAGTAGCCTTGTGTAACAAGAGTAAGAACAACATTGGTGAACACACAGGATCTTATGGTTCTAGTTCATTTCCTGATCATGCTGGCTCTAAATATGTAGGCAACAACTACATTACTTTGCTATGGAACAACTACAAAGGCTGAACAACAGTCAGCATCACCACACAAAAGTGTCCCAAACTGGAGCAAAAGAAAATAAACTTATTTCCTCCAGCACAGCTGAAGCCACATCATTTGGATTTTAAAATTGGTGTACTGTGTGATAATGGAAGTGTGAAACTCTAGTTCTTTAAACACATTTTTCTACTTTTCAACTTGAAACCCTAAGAAGTATGTGCTGCCCCCATTTTCTCCAAGAGACAATGAGGCAGAACAGAGCAAGCTCACAAAGAGAAACCACTATTCTAAAGATGTCATCATTTGTTGGAGCTGAAAGGGATCTCATTCATCACCTAAACCAAACCCATCATTTTCCAGAGAAAGGTATCAGAGCTAGTTCAGAACAGAGCCAGGATCTGAACACAAGTCTCCTGACTCCCTGCTCAGTAATCTTTCCGTAGCACCTAGAGGCCTCAAAGTCCCACATACAAATTACTAGAGATTATTGTCCCAATTCAAAGTTTAATTACATCAGAATTGCTCCAGCAGCCTCATAAGATGACTCTCCTAGGAGCCATAAATCTTACATGCTTGAAAAGTCATGCTGTTTTCCAGTGAATGATGAGGTTACCTGGAATCTGCCCCTGAGACAGGGAAATCTACCGTGGTCCCTGGTTTCACATAAGACTTCCATTATGTGAAGGAACTCTGACATAATTATCTGCAATGGACTTTAAAACCAATGCGGCAGGGCAGGACCAACTTGTGTCTTTTGAAAACAAATATATGCACTACAGGCTCCAAAGATTTAAATCTGGGAGGGATTTTAGGGTTCATCTAATCTAACACTCTCATTTTAAAAATTAGGCAGCTGAAGCCTAGAGAGGAGGAGGGACACAACCACAGCACTCAGAGACAGAAGGGAGCTTAGTGCCAAGTCTGCTGCCCCTCATCTCGCAGAGGAGAGACCTAAGAGGAGAAGAGCCTGGCTCAAAGTTCCATAAGGAACAGGGATCAGAATAATCAGGAGTCTAAATGAAAGGCTTTCTACTTTAACTGTTGCTGGTTGCTAGGTTGGTTTTTTTGTTTGTTTGCCTTTGGCAGAACTCCCACAGATTTTACCTTCCCTGGGTAGTGCCTCATTTTTCTAACATAAGCGTAAGTCCAGGGTACCATTCCTTCTTATTTAGCTTGCCTAGAAGAATGGGCTGAAAAATGACCAGGGGCACACTGCCAGTGTGGGGCCCTGTTTCGGCTGCTGCCCGCTCCCCTATACCAGGTGGGGCAGAACGTAATTCAGGTTTCCCTACAATTCTCCAGCATTCTCTTTTCTTACACTGATCTGCGATAAGAGGGTTAACAGAGAGACATGAGCTGTAAGGGTCTTGTTAGCAATCCCCATAGCTGAGGTACACCCATGACTCTGGGGGTAGGTAAGGCAGAGGGGTTACTGAATATCCCCCTCCTTATGCCACCTCTCTCCTTGCTCTCCCTCCCAGGAGCCACACTATGCTGAGTGATCAGGGCTGTGGGGAGGACCCTTCAAAACTTTCTGGGGTGCTTTCCCTTTTTTCAGCATCTACTCTAGACTTCACTCTACATTCTGTTTTCAGTAACCAGATTTCTTACAGTAAAAACAAACTCCTAGCTTGTGTCTCTTGTTGATAAAAGGGACCATACTTTCCTTTCCTAATGGTACAGAAGGGACTTGGGGACTAGTTTCATCCTCT